CTTCCTTCTGGGAACTCCAAAAGGTGCAGCAAAGCTGGCTGCCTGGCTATCGGAGACTCGGTTCTTTGATGACATCTGTCCAAGGCGGCCCCTGCCTGAGCACGCCTGAGACAATACATCCTTTTTTAAAAAAAAAAAAAACCAGAGACGTGGAGAATAGGCGGATCATGGTGCGGAGATGGATCCATGCAGCTGGCATTGCAATTTAACCTGCTATAGCAGACCTTCCCCATGACTGAGGCAGCTATGCGAACGCGCCAAAGTCTCTTGTTTGTACATAGAACTAGCAATAGTTAGAGACACCCAGGGCTCACCCCCTGGCGGCCTTTGCCCTGATCAGGGATAGTGGAAAACGTGCAAGTCACGAGCCACGGCCGTAAAATATACACACACACACACACACACACCTACAAGTCAAGACGGCACGGTGACTGGTTGAGTTTATTCAAGTTATTTTCGCTTCAGCGCATTCTTTTCATCAATGTGGAAATCTTTCAAAGAAAAGAATGGCAGCAAGTTTGGGGGAGGGTCGACTGAAGCGGCAGCCTCAGCTAGTGATCGTGGCCAAGATCTGACCACGATATTGGATAGATCCCAACGCGGGGAATTGACAGTACTTGTCGCGTTAATCGCACAGCGTATGCGAGATGCAATTGAGCAAAATTTCTCCAATGCTGTGCCTTCACCGGAGCAGTCGACGAACTACGGAGAAAAAGGGACAGGCTTCCTGCCTCAAGCTGAAGATGCACAACACCAGTTATCATCCAGTAGCGCAGTCAAGGGCTCAAGATCCGGCCATATATTCAAAGATCCCGAGGCTGCGACATGTGCTCTATCCGACTTTGACGACTGGAGAGATTCTGTCCTTCTTCGGATTGGTGAGGTCGTCAACAGGGATCCAGAGGACCACGGTGAAGTTCCGGCGACGAACCAGAATTCGCCGTCGGAAAAGCAATCCCAGCAGATCCGCTCAAAAGAGGATGGCCGTTCCCTGCGTAAACTGCGTGAAGTCTTTCCACCGGTTGAGACCAGCCTCGCCCAGCTCCCTCCAGCAAAGAAACTCCTAATTCTTCACTCATTGCTACTTCTAGTCCTGAGCCTTGAACACTATAATGCCTGGGCACGCGTTCTTATGCTGTATGTGGCGTCGAGCTTAGAGCTGGACGTGAAATTACTAAACGAAGACGAAGTCAAAGTGGCGAGAGGCTTGCTTGACACTGCTCTGGAGCTATCTTCGAACGCTCCAACGCAGGATGAGGGCCGAAGTCGCGATTCGTCCAGAAAATGGAAGGTCGGTATCGCGTCAGTTGCGGGTGCTGCTCTGATCGGGATCACCGGTGGACTGGCTGCGCCCCTTGTTGCAGCTGGGCTCGGAACTGTCATGGGCGGCCTTGGGCTTGGAGCCACTGCCGCAGCGGGGTATCTCGGCGCCCTCGCTGGAAGTGGTGTTGTCGTTGGTGGACTTTTCGGTGCTTATGGTGGGCGGATGACTGGCCGTATGGTTGATAAGTACGCGCGCGAGGTGGATGATTTTGCCTTCTTGCCCATTCGTGGTTCTCGGCATAGATCCGAGGACGAAAGAGAAGCTGCGCAGCAAGATCATCGACTTCGGGTTACGATTGGCGTGACAGGGTGGCTGACAGAGGAGGACAATTTCGTGATCCCGTGGCGCGTGATCGGAGCCGAATCGGAGGTGTTTGGTCTCCGTTGGGAGACCGAGCCCTTGATGAATCTGGGAAATGCGCTTGACCTGTTGGTGACCAGCGCAGCATGGACTGCCGGTGAACAAGTCCTGAAGAAGACATTCCTCGCCCAACTCTTGACCGCCGTCGCCCTGCCGCTTGGCCTCCTCAAGGTCGCACGTGTGGTGGACAATCCGTTTAGCGTAGCCAAGGCTCGGGCGGACAAGGCTGGGGAGGTTCTTGCGGATGCTCTTATTAATAAAGTGCAGGGCGAGCGAGCAGTCACCCTCATAGGATACTCCTTGGGGTCTCGAGTGATTTTCGCTTGCCTTCAAAGCTTGGCAAAGCGGCCCGCTTTCGGCCTGGTGGAATCAGCGATTCTAATGGGGGCTCCCACCCCGTCGAATCCCGAGCAATGGTGTCGCATCCGCAGTGTTGTGAGTGGACGCCTTGTCAACGTGTTCTCAGAAAACGACGCCGTGTTGGCTCTCTTGTACCGAACCAGCAGTCTCCAGCTTGGGGTTGCAGGCTTGCAGCCTGTTGAAGGCGTATCAGGAGTTGAGAACCTGGACGTCAGCGACCTGATCAGCGGCCATCTCCGTTACCAGTTTCTCGTCGGCAGGATCTTGAGCGTCGTTGGTCTCGAGAGTATTGATGCTGGCGAGGTAGCGCGGGAGGAGGCCGCATTGGAAGCCAAGGATCGGAGGCAGGAGCAGGAAAGGGCTCATAACGAACGGCAGGCTGGAATCATGGGTAATGGTCGGTCACCGAGCCAGCAGCTGGAAAGCCAGGAGGGTCTGCAGGGCGAAGAGGACAGACTACGGAAAGAGATGGACGGAAGAGCACGAACTCGGCTCTCTTAGACAGTAGATTCTAAAGACAATGGACAATAACAGCTATAATGATCTATCCATGTTTTATGGTTTTCTATATGGAGTAATAGATGGACTCTAAACCAATATTCCCTCGACGCTCAAGCAGCGGGAAATGAACACACGAGGACACACCAATCAGGTCAGTCAGCACTAGCAGTTCACCCTTGATAAGGCCAGCTGCTAATATCCGACAGATCCGAGACATTCCTCTGAATTTGAGGCTAAAATGGCCTACCAAGCTTCCGACAACCCCGCCAGTCACTGGGACCGAAAAGCTTGGTCTAGTGCAGTAGCCCATCACTACTAGTCCAGGCGTCAGTTTCTAGTGGCTTGTACGCGAGATGATCCCTGATTCACGAAGCCCGTCTGTGACCTGCCTCTTAGCGATGCCACGGATTCCAACGGTGCCTTTTTAGTGCTGGTGACCCCAGGCATGATGCCATTTTGTCGGCCTTTAGTGCCCTCTCTGACTCACTCTGCGCTCAATGTTACATTCGAATAGATTGAGTCTCTCGCAGGGATCTCTGTGTATGCAGCTAAATAGCTCGATATTGAGATAGTGCACGGGTACTGGTTCGCTCGACGGAACCGGGGTGCGAACCTGCTGGCCTTACGCGCGACAACTAAATAAGAGGCAGCTGCCTGGCTTTTGTCTCTCTTTTCCTTTCTTTGCTTTTGAGCCTGCATTGTTACGTGGCTATTGTGAACTCTTTTGCTGATCTGGCTTCATCTTTCGAACTTACAACATCAGTCAATCCGGCTACTTGTCGCTCGTCCACAACCACTCTTACTCGGAATGAGATACTCTCTTGTAGCAGGCGTTTCCCTGCTATCTGGATGCGCCATTGCTACTGTCCCCAACATTCAAATCAAAGCAAGTTCTTGATGAACTCAGTGCAAGAGGAAGGCTAACCATGGAGCATGATAGGGCTCCAAGTTCTTCTACGCGAACAATGGAAGTGAATTGTGAGTATTTTCCACCTTCGTCACAGCCCAATGACTCATTTTCTTAGCTATATTCGAGGTGTAGCATATCAAGGTACGAACAGACCAACTTCCCATCCAGGAGCACAGCTAAAATGAGATAGAGGACTACAGCGGCGGAGGAGCCGGTCCGGCACCAACTACGTCGACCCCCTGGCCGACGCCTCCAAATGCGAGCGCGATATCCCCTACCTTCTACAGCTGCGGACCAACGTGATCCGGACGTATGCCGTCGACCCATCCTCAAACCACGATGAGTGCATGCAGAAGTTGTCCGACGCAGGGATCTACGCCATCACCGATCTGGCGTCGCCGGACGTCTCCATCACGTCCAACTCGCCTGTCTGGACGGTCGACCAGTATGCCTGCTACACCAGTGTCATTGACGCATTCCAAAAGTACGATAACGTGATTGGCTTTTTCGCCGGCAACGAGGTGGTCAACCAGGCGAATCAGTCCGCCGGCGCCGCGTTCGTCAAGGCCGCGGCGCGAGACCTGAAAGCCTACATCAAGAACAAGGGATACCGGGAATCGCTGGCTATCGGGTATGCGACCACCGACAACCCGGAGATCCGGCTCTCGCTGTCAGACTACCTCAACTGCGGCGACCAGTCCGACGCGATCGACTTCTTCGGCTACAACATCTACGAATGGTGCGGCGACAAGACCTTCCAGACCTCCGGCTACCAGAACCGCACCCAGGAGTACGAAGACTACTCCATCCCCATCTTCTTCTCCGAATACGGCTGCAACACGGAGAAACCGCGCAAGTTCTCCGACGTGCCCGTGCTCTTCGGCCCGCAGATGGAGGCCGTCTGGAGCGGCGGCATCGTCTACATGTACTTCGAGACAACCAACGACTACGGCCTGGTCTCCGTCTCCGGGGCGTCCGTCTCCACCGAGGCCGACTTCGCCTACTACTCGTCCGAGATCCAGAGCGCCACGCCCACAGGCACCAACAGCGCCAGCTACTCGCCCACCAACTCCCCGCGCGCCTGCCCCACCGTCGACGAGACCTGGCTCGCCAAGTCCAGCCCCCTGCCCCCGATCCCCAACGCCGAGCTCTGCTCCTGCATGGTCGCGAGCCTGTCGTGCGTGGTCACGGACTCCGTCGCCGCAGAGCAGTACGGCGAGCTCTTCGGCCAGGTCTGCGGGTACGGTCAGGGCATCTGCGAGGGGATCGCACACAACGCCACGACGGGCTCGTACGGCGCGTACAGCGTCTGCACGAGCAAGGACCAGCTGTCGTATGCGTTTGATCGGTACTACAAGAGCCAGAACAAGGCCGCGTCGGCGTGCGACTTTGCCGGGGCGGCGTCCGTGCAGTCGCCCAAGGGCGCCTCGGCGGACTGTCAGCCGCTGGTCAGCCAGGCTGGTGCGGCGGGGACGGGGACGGTCACTTCGCAGCCGACGGGGGGGAGTGGTGCCACCGGGGGTAGTGGTAGCGCGGCGAGTACGTCCACGTCCAAGGGTGCGGCTGCGAGTGCTGTGAGTCCTGCTGCGGTCCGGGTGGGCGGCTGGCCTTTGTTTGCGTATGGGGTTGTCGCTGCGATGGCTGGTGTTCTGATGATTTCTCTTTAGTTGAGTAGACGATGATTGTACAGGTTGAGTGGAGGCGAAGGTGGATATAAGGAATTGGCATGTTTTCCACTCGAATTACATGTAGATTTGCAGCCACGATGAGCCGATCCTGAACTTCATGAATGCTGTGGTATGATTAAACTTGATTCAGTATTCGCCGTTATCCCGGTTATGTGGCATACTGGTGATGATTCAAGGCAACAGATCTTGCTCGATGTCTATTAAATCAAAACCGCTAGACCAAAGGGTATCCGGACGATGTACTCCTTAGTCTAGGGATTACATATCCATAGTCACAGTGGTATGATATTTGCGGCCTGGCTTGGTTAACAGAATCGATTGCCCATGTCCCGTTGCAGATAAATCATCCACATGATCACAGGGAGGGTATAGAAAGCCTCGCGCGGCGCCATGTGCCCTTTGTTGAAAATAATTGCAAAGGTCGCGATGAACCTCAGTCTGTATCCCAATGCAGTAGATTGCGGGGAATAAAAAACAGAAAAGCTACTCAAAATCAGCTCGTCCACGTTCAAACCAGGTCAATTCCTTCTATCCCGGCTAATAGTGCTAGCGAAACAGACAGCCGCTATCACCAGGACCAGAGAATGAAAGCCCAATCCAGTCGACTACCCCCATCCATTCATTTTCATCCATCTGATTCTCAAGATCGTTCCTGTCGTCGCTGTCGTACCATCCTTGGGCATCATGAGGTGAAAGGGGTCGGGGATTAGAAGCTCAGCTAGGGACGAGTATCTCCCCACAACGGCCAAACGGCGTGCCCCTCGCCCCTAGAGCTCGGATGGTGGGAGTCCAAGCCTGTGACCAATTGGCCAGCTGCAGCAATGGAGACCTAATGATCCCATACCGAGCCCAGTCCAACATGGCCAGCCAGGATCCCATCCCTCCATCAACCGCAAAACCTCCCTGGAGGCGCCAAGATGGAACTCCCCATCCTCGGTGCAGCTGCACTGGAACACTCTTGGCCAAGTCTGCTTGCACTGCGGCCCCATTGCTGGGTTACCCCTTTGTTCTGGGGATAGTCAAAAGCCCATTGGGTCACCTCGTTTCTGTCGGGATGACCTAGAGATAGGAGTTCCTCAAATAGGTGTACTTGATCAATGGATACCGACTTCTTAGCCTTCTTCCTCTTCGACTGTGTTCGACGGTTGAATGATTTGCCATCGACTCCAAGGTTGCATAGGTGCATGTGGCTTGATCCATTTCTGCCAAAACTCATATACACCATTCTGCAGTGAGCCGGGTACTGGTTATCCTCACTGAAGGTCCCGATACGTACCCACTCGTTGTTGTGGTCTCTCGCCTTCGGCGCGATGTACTAAGGAATGGGTCCTCACCCGCCTAGCTCTGTTGGATTCTTCGACCTTGTCCTCTGTCCTGTGGACAAAACCATTATTTCGGTGAAAATAATGGTTGAGTATGAGGTTCCAGACGCCAGTTACGGCGCTCTCATAGTCTTGGTCTCTGGCGGCCCGATATTCATCATGGGACGTCAACAAGTTATTGTACTTGGATGCCAGGGAAAATCAGCAAGGGCACAGCACACAGTTGATCAAAGAAATGCTTACGGGTTGAATGCTCATTTTGGCTGGTGTAAGTGGTATCTGGCAAAAGTGGTAAAGACTGTTCCCCGATTAGCTGTCTTTCGATATACAAGAGATCTGTGAGCTTACCTTGCTTGTGAGAGGATGAAGGCTAGAGGTTTCTTAGGAGATCTACTGATCCCGCCTTCAACCGAGCCACCGCTTGATGGGACTTTGTGTGAATGGTTTTGACCGCGTGGCCTTCATCGCAGACCACGCGGCCGAACCGCCAAGATGACAGATCAGTCGCCCCGAGCGCACCGATAGACAGAGGGTGCCGGATGTCCAAAGATTGCGTACATCTCCGGACTGTCTGGACTCACGGTGTTTTCGTCGCAGGCCTGCATGAGCTCGAAGTCGAGCATGGTAACAGCCCGCGTTTCTGCCGAGTACAGCACATTGTGCTTTCCAGAATCCACGGCCAGATACCCAATGCTTCTGAGCGCTTCAACTGCCTTGCGGATCATGGAGCGTATGTGCTCCTTGTGGTCTGCCGAGAGAATGTCCCATTGTCTGTCCAGGGGCTCGCCCTTGACCTTCGATATAATCATGATGTGGCCTCGAGAGAAGACGGACGAGCAGACTATCGTCCCTCGACTCTGGAGAGAAGCGAAGAATTCAAAGCCTTCCGGCTTTAACTGGTAAAGCCTCTCGTAGGTACTGGCTTCATGAACGTAACTGTACTTAGTGTCAGTGATTCTGCCAGTGGGCTTGGAAGAAGTGTTCTATCAAAATCCAATACCGCTAGACAGAAGGTGTCCGGACGATGTACTCCTAGTCTAGGAATACATGTCCATAGTCATAGTGGTATAATATTTTAACATGTTCGTACCCTTGAAAACAGGCATCGGACCAGCATTTGGCCACGGCAGGCTCGCCATTCCAAGTCACCTCGTACAAGGCTTTATTATTGGACTCTTTGATCATTCGATGACAATTGACCCATTGCTGGGCCACGCCATCGTCACCTCCGAAGAGGATCGACTGCGCCCCCAGTGCTTGTGGCGTATCATTCTTCGTCGTCACTTCGTTTCGAAAGGGCGACCGTGCCTGAACGAATGGCTCAAAAGGTATTTTCAGCTGCCAATGAGAAGAATTAGCTTGCCAACAGCCAGAACCTAACCGGTCGAAAGGCTAGGTGGACTCACGCGAGTATGATTGAAATCGCGAGCCTCGGTATATCTATCGTCTTGGGCCGCGAGAACGCAAAAGGCAAGGAAGCACTGGCGAACGGATGGTCTGGTTGCCTGTTCATCTATTGGGAGGGATAACTCGAAGCGGAAATCACCTGCTCGACGAACAAACACCGTGGTCCGATATGTCGAAAGAAAGCCGTATTTTAACCGGTTCGTGCGCATGTATGAGACTAATTGCCCTGGATACATCAGAAAGTGAGCAAGAGTTTCTATTGTAGTTCAAATACCGAAATGTGGCTGCATTATGGCGATGTTCGCGGCGCCTTCATTGACGGGGTACTTTTCGAGCTCGACCGTCCAAAATGTTTTGAGCACGCCGACGGCCAGGACGTTCGATCTCGGCAGAGTAAGCAGGACAATGTCCGGTACATCACGAGAATCTGTGCGCGCAGTGGCCTGAAAATCCCCAAAGGTCAAGTGAGCTAGCTCTGTGACTGAGAGGACTTTGGCCACTGCGTCGCACATGTGTTTATAGAATCTGCCAGCCAGTCCCAGCTTGCTTCCCACCAGGAAGTGCTCGTTTGCGTCCGAGTCATCTGTCACGGATACCTTTTCATCTAGATTCAGAGAGTTGCACAAGGTCAAAACCTGTTGAGGAAAGTCTAACCATTCATGAAGGAACCGCGCTGAAATGTCCTCGCCTGACAAAGACACGTTTGTTGTACCGCGAGATTGCTTCAAACGAGGGATTGGCCTCTCAATCAGCATTCTGGCTGGTTCCATGATAGTAGGATACTGACAGAGAGGCCCTGACGATGATGATGGAGGTGAGAAGAAGAGGCAGGAAGAAAGAAGCTGGTGTTTGAAAATGAGGAGGAGCGTACCTGCTTCAACATTCACTTGATTACAAGTAGATCAAGACTGTTAATGAGCCGTCGACATAGACTGACTCACTGACATGTTAGATCCATGGTAGCATTCCATCACCTCAAAGCTACCTTACCATCATTCCACTCTGGCAAGAGCTGACCTCAAGAATGCCTTGGGTACCTTTACTACATGACAGGATATACTTTGTAGCCATGAGCTGAAACCCCTAGAATCCCTCTATTCTGACCAGTGACAGGTTTAGGGTTTTATTCACTTCCACTAATTCACAAGGCTTATTGAGCCGTCGAGGTATTCACCAGTCCCACTATAAGAAGTACCTGTGAATTATTTACTATATACATTCCACTCTCCCACTACAGAAATTATCTATTCCACTTGGACACTATGCTTAATTGCGACCAACTCGGTGCTGACCCAGGGGCTTTGCAAGGCCAATTCGCCCCTAAGATTTAGGGCTTTAGGGCTCCCCAGTTGCCTTGTCTCATGTGTCTTGGAGTAGTCTCTGGCATCATTCGCTTATGACTCGGTCTTCTGTAATCTCATGCCTATGGCAGTATCACGACATTTAAAAGCTATCTGTGAAATTTAGTTGGACTCTTGGTGTTCCAGAGCTTCTCTCTCATTGTCCAAGACTGTACCGGCGGGGGTTGAAATCTGTTGAATTACTGAAATCGAATAAAATCCAATACCACTATCGAGGCTAAAAAGGTAAGGATAACTGGGGACTGTTAGTTCCGTACCCCCCTTATGCTGATTATCCGTGCTACTCCTGGTTTGCTGATGGTTTGATGAAGCTATACAGGTGCCTCCATGTCTGCTGCCTCTCCCACCGCGATTACTATCTTTCGCGGGCAGGAAGGCCGAAGGGAATACCACGCCAGAGCAGGCCAAGATTCTGGCTCTGTAGGCTTTTGGCTCCTCCACGAGATCCCGTAAGCGGCAAAAAAAGTTTCTCTTAGTAGCACCAGCCGGTGCTGGGCCTAGAGACGATCCCAGGAGGTCAATGGGGCCCCAGAACGGTAGGCCATTATGGTATCTTTTGGCAATCTTGAACCTGGCCACTCGGACCGGCTCCTCCGACTTTTCCCACGCCGGATTTTTGATGCGTTCCAAAAAGATGGCCTCTTGCTGGGCTTCGCAGCTTTCCAGCTAGGGACGCATGCTCGAGCAGTGGACCTTGTACGCGAGGAGGTCTAACGGGGCGATGAATGGCAGATAGTTTAAGTCTATGTCCCTCAGCGCCATCGCATGCGCAGGCAGGTATGGCGGCTGTCGTTAATCATGTTAGTTTGACTTCATCTATCTGGCCGCGACACGCAAACGTACTAGATACTGGGGGATAATGTCAACCTGCACCAAGTCCTCAGGGGCGTATTTGAAGAATTCATCTGCAGGTCTGACAGCTGACCTGGAACGCACTCAGTCGCATTGCTGTGCAGTGTGAGCAGTTTCCATATGTCTAGCCTGATGGCGATAACTGTGCTTATCATTAGTGTCTGTAAATCTGAGCTCTGAAGTGTTCATACCTCTGGCAGCGTGATGCAAACCACATATCACCTCAGGCACAGCGTTCTGTTTGACCCTTTGACAATCGATGGTGGTTGACCTGTTGGTGCCATGCCATCATTTCCACAAAGAGTGACCCTACCAATCTCTTGTGAAAAGACAGCTTTGAGAAGCAAAGTCTATCGGCCGTGTACTCCTGGGCTTTGCCCAAGGTAGTGAGCACGAACCATTGCTTGGAACCATGTATTCTGATTCAGCGGTTGCCCTTTCTTAATCCGGATACGCACTGGCTTGGAGAAAGATGACAGCTCACTCCTGTTGTCACTACTAGGCCTTGTGAGAACATGTAACTTTCGTTCCTCCCATAGAACGAATGCAGGGGTTGCAAATGGCGATGGCACGTTCCAAGCAGAATGGTCAGCGTAGAGGCGTTTGCCAAGGGAAAGGAATAGACCCGCAGCAAGCTCATACCACAGAAACTGCCTTGGCATATCTAATCATTGGCTTGACTTCAAGTATGGATCACATTGCTCTGGCGCCATGTAGGGAATGGTTCCGATGCGCGCTCCGTCGCACCAGGTGGTACGTGTCGCCAGGCCAAGATCACCAAGTTTCATAACGTCGTGCGTCAAGAGAGCGTCCATCTGCCTTCACTTGGTATTCAAGGTACGGGTCAGCAGTAGGGCAAGTCTGTGGTTCGGCAATACCTAACTTTGCCAGATCAATTCTCTTCTGGTAGTTGTCTTCCTCAAACTTGATAAAGAACTTAAGATCTGAGGGCAGAATAACGAGACCAGGATCGTAATAGACATCGAAATTGCTATGGCACAAAGGGCAGAGTGCAATACCATGGAAGATGACGACAGTATGAAGTAAGAAATAGCGAGACTGCGTTCCAGCCAAATATCAATCTAAAGAGTAGAAGATTAGTTAATATTTAGCATCTAAATATCAGATGTTACACACCGTCGACGATACTGCTGAAGGAGTTGGTGCCGAACTTTGGCACAAATCGCACGCGGGTGATCGTGCATTCAAGGCTTGATGACCTCCTCAAGTCAATGAGTTCCTGGATAAGGAGGACCAGATGGACATTCGCGATTGCTTCATCTGGGGTGGTTGGGTACTGTTCCAGGTTGGTTGCAGGACGAGAGGCCTCCATGCTTGATCTTCCAGACCCAGCGAAATGGAAGCAAACTCATCCCCTTTCTCGATCGATGATTCGCCAGGTACCATTTTGTATGAGCTGTTTGAGCTCCTTGGGCAGCTTCAAGCCATTTGTCTTCGTGTTTGCATTTCACCGCATCTTCCCATGAGGTAGCTTCGTAATCATCACAAAGTCTTCGAGGTGACCGTCCCTCTTCGCAGAGTCAAGTATGGACTTGCCTCTTTTCGTAGCTGCAGAGCTTTTTGGCTGGGCATAGACACCTCACTTCCCCAATCGTAATCACTCTCGGGCTCCAGCATTGCGAGCGAGCTTTGGCTTATGAGATCTGCAGATGGGAGAACCGCAGAGCCCAATTGATGACAAGAAATCCCGCCACATGTTCCGCGGGGAGAATCGGACAGGTGATACATCAACAGGCCTTTTGCGTGATACATGGCTATATGTTTTCTGAGAAGAGTTAGCACCACCCTGTATCAAGGGGAAGGATAATCGCCTCAGCGAGGAATGGTAACTAATTGTACGAGTGAGAGGCCGCGACTGGAACACATGGCCGCGGGCAGAAGCAAAAGAAGACTGCTTACCCTTATTGGCCACGGCTAGAGCACCCTTTCGCAAGTGGTTAACGACACATCCGCCATGTGGATTTTCATTAGGTTCCGCGATGTAAGAACCAACCAACCGAGGAGTCATTCATCCAGCCCACCGCTTCCATGGGAAGGTAGGGCGGCTATTAGTGTGTTGATCAGCCTTCGTCCAATGCAAGAGGAAAGGCTGAGTGAAGTTTCAATCAAACTTACCAACTCCTGTGGGATGATGTCCACCTGGATCAAGTTCCTGGGATGGCGAGTGAAGTATGGCTGCGCTCTCTCCTCAAACTGCTCTGAGAATTGGGAGACTAATTCAGCCCGAATAGGCTGAGCACAGATGGGATGGTCCCAATGAAAGACTAGTATATCCACGTCCTGGATGGGTGAGTTTGCGAGCAGAGTTGGCGAACAAAGGCAAGAACACCAACTCACCCTTGTCATCCGGTAACCTGGGGCGTAGTTATGTAGTGCTAGACCCCCAATTATCGCAATCTTGGCTTGTTATAGGTCTGGTAGCGCTTGAAGAGAGGTAATAACGGCACGGGCTGCTTCCCAGAGATTGTTCAGGGCCAGAAAATGTTAATCGTCTGATCCGGCGTGCACCCCTCCAATGTACGCGAAGGGACCAGGTGCGCACCACGGAGGGATCATCGACAAGAGAGACTGCAATCTCAAGGGTGATCACACCAGGAACCATATCATTGCCTCACGCAAGTGTGCAGCAACGAGGGCAGATATTGCCCACAGCCGCAAAAGTAAAACGTAGCGTTCCACTGACGCGCGAGGTTCAAGAGGTCGCAGTGTAAGAGATCTTGACTTTCCCGTAAATAGCGAATTCAGAAGATCACGGCTGAACCAAGGAGGCAGATTCGTAACGATGAATTGCACCACACTCCTGGCCCGCAGGAAGCTGTGCCGCAGCTCTAGTCATGAGGATGGCCTCACGGAGCTGGGCGCGTCCCATGCTGCCCGCGGAGTGCCCGCTGGAAGCGGTGGCGGTCCAGAAATAACGGGTCCCTACAGAATGTTAGTCGCGACACCAAGAAGATTGAGAGAGATGACTCGCCTTCGCGGCCGGGGCGGCCTCACCCTTCCCTAAAGTAGTGGTGATAACGAACACCATAAAGCAGATTGCAGCTAGACTGTGGTTCTGCCAGTAGAATGTTAGCATGCTGTCTGAACGATGTAGTTATCAAAGCATATTCTGGGGGTGATGGTGATACCCTTGGAGACGCTCTCTCTATCGACGTCGTTGTCGTTGAACATTCTCGTTGAAACAAGCCTTGTTCAATAGCTTCTTTGTCGATAGACATGTCCGTCCAGGTACTCAACGTAATGGGTCCCTGGTTTCATGAGAGTAAGGAATACCTCATGGCCTTCGCAAACCTAACCATTGGCTTTACCTCCAGGATGGATAAAACTTCTTCTGGCCTCCTGGACCGCACCACACCATCAACAATAGTAGTGTATGAGTTGGTCCCATACTTGGGTACATATCGCACACGCTCTGACCAGTCAAAGGACACACGAGGTTCGAAGCCCCTCTCGACCAGAAAGGGAGATAACCCTGTCGATTCGCTCGGTAAAGCCGCGGCAGCAAAGTTGAGAATGGGAAGCCACTCGTCCCAATCGTCCTGGTAGTAATTAATAAATGGGCGCAATCGTTGAGCAATGTATTGATTCATGACCTCCGTCTGACCGTTGGTCTGGGGGTGGTGACCCGAAGATACTTTCACCTGGACTCCCAGTATCTTGCATAGTTCCGTCCAGAATTCCGATATAAACTGACCGCCGCAGTCTGACACGATAGTGTCTGGTAAACCCACCCAGGGGTAGATATGTACGAGAAACAACCGGGCCATATCCGCAGATGCGGTCGTCTTTTTATCAGTTCCTGGATTAGCAGGACCAGGTGCACATTGATTATTGCCTCATCTGGCTTGGTAGGGTATAGCTCGAGGCTGGTCGCAGGACGCGCCGCTGGATGGTCCAGCACCAAACGTTTGCAGTACCAATCAATGATGGAACACTTGCACGATCAAGCTTGGCATTAATAATGTTATTCATTGTTGTCCATGTAAACATCTTCTCACCATCGCGCGTCTGGCAGTATTGCCTGACTGCTGCATGTCTGAATCGATCATATTTCAGCAGGTTGGCAAAGTCGTTCGGTGTCCCTGGGTGGTCCCAAAATAATCCTCTAACCATGAAGTCAATCGTCTCATCTGGAAATGGTCTTGCATCAACTCGGAGACTAAATAACGGATGACGAACAAAGGTACCTTCAAGCCGCAATGAGCCAGTCCGAAAGGTCGTCCAATTTAGAATCCATACCTTCGTTGGGAATCATCATGGTCATCATCATTCTGAGCGTTTGTCATCACTTTTTAAAATAGGTAACGACCACAGGTAACAATCTGCTCTGAGTCCGCTGGCTGAGTGGCATTAAAGCGTTGGACAATGCGCAGTCTTACCGCTGGACTTACTGGCAAAGAACATAGCCGACAGAAGACAGATATAGACGCCCATGGGGGTCTGGCTTTCAACCGCCGCTGTGTTACCAACCTCAGTTTGTCCAATCCATTGCGAAATGAGACTCCATTAGCTCTCAGCGCAGATATATCGAGCAGGTCGAACAAGTGCGTTATTTTGATAGTCATTGTAGCGGTGATCCTGGAAGGATGGCCAATTCAGATGCACTGCCAAACGGAAAACTGGTGGCTATTCGATTGTAGAGTTTATGCCGGGATTGAGTCAAGCTCTTTTCTGATGACATCCATGACGTTGTCCAATCAATCTCCAAGAATCCAAGGACGGAACGAATTGTTGAAGACAGCGTCGTTGAATTCTTGAATGAGCGAGATCCAGTCTGAATGCCTGCCTCGACAGAGCATCATATACGCAGAACATGAGATGCCCGCTTGCAAAGTCATCAAGCAACTCGACGCAATTTTCAAAGGATAGTATGGGCCTCGTTTCGGTCACAAAGAGAAATGGTCCGTGAGATGTCCACTTCTTCAGTCTTCTGGATTGCCGAGGGTCATGGTTCCTTTGCTCTCCTCAGACTTTCGGAGAACAGCTTCTCTCTTCCGAGGTGAACCTGGGGCCTTTCTGGACCCATCACGAAACGCCAAATTCTGATTTTGAGGCTTGCCTCATACCAAGCACATTTGGGTCATTGTCTTCTGGTCATAGTCCTGAGAGGCGACTCTTCCCTTCTGGCCGATGAGACTGTTTAATAGTTAGTGATTGCGTGATCTTTAAAGTAGGTGGGAGACCTTCTTAAAATCCTTTCTCTATCGTCATGCCGACTGCGTCAGTATTGGGGGCGACTCATTTCCTTATTTGTATAGAAGCTTGCATCTTAGCTTTCCCACGATTCCCTATTCCACATATATCCTGTGCCCAGAACTGATGCTCTCTCAAAGAGAGCTGAATCTAGGGTACCACGGATCACGCGCCATCTGCCTACATTTGTCTGGTGGCACACAACATAGACTTCTTGCCCATCGAGGGTAGCAGAGTAATCAGCCCACCCGGTTGCGAATGAATGGGCGCCTTGGTATTGCACTAGTCGGCGTCGATAGAATCAGCAAATGCGGTTATTTGAACGCGCAGGTTCACATACCCTTCCTATCTTGAAGCAACCCATTCCTTTAGGTTGGCATAGACGTTTCTTTCCAATTTTCAATGGCACTCTCTGGCCAGAACATCGAGAGTGCAGTCCCAGTCTCTTCCCAGATCTCGATACTTCTGAGCCCTGATATCCCTCCAAAATCAACATGTGGCTAGACGCGAGTCTTGAGCCGTGCATCTTCCTGAAAATCTGGAAGTTAAAGATGCGAGACGAGGTTGGATTTCTAGGAAACAATACCTCGCTTGCCGCCCAGGACGTGTAACTGTAGGGTATGATGTGGGCGGCCTCCAACCTGCCGTGAGGCTCAGTAGCTAGTGATCCAATCTGCAGCCATGTATCGAGATCTAGAAGGCCACTGACTGATGCCACAGCGAGAACCAAAGACACGAAGCAGGATTCATAGCCAGTTTGAAGTCACCACCCATGTTAGGCGGCGCTTTTAGCCACCAAGACAATTGCGAGCACAATGTGCCCGAATTCGTTCATTTGGATCGGGTCACCCGTGCGCCATGGTCCAAAGGTCTCCACCACGAGGAATGAATCTGCATTTGCCCAGTAATTGGACACAGGAACTCTCGGTTTTCGTCAACGGAAAGTGGGCGTCTTGTCGATCAACCACCTCCACGAACTTGTGCAAATCGCGACGGACGACACGAAGGGATGACGGACTCTCAAAGTGCTGCCGTTCGACCTACGCCACCGACAATAAAGCCAGCGCGCCGCTCTTCAAGCAAGTCGTTGAGGCGGCACCTGGAGACATAGAACTCGTTGACCTCTCCCTCACCAAGATGTGCTGTAGAAACAGATAGAAATCAATTCAGAAGGCGGGACTTCAAGAAGGTACCGGTCAGGATCTCCCAGAGTTTGTTAACCTTTGTGGCTTCGTGAGACGACTGGGTGTCTTTGAGTCCAAAGTACTTTCTGACTGTGTTGTGATCAGTTGGACCGCTCGAAGGCACTTCGGCAAGGATGTCATGAAGGGTCTGCTCCACAACATCTAGGACACATCCACGAATACCGAACCGAGCAAAGTCTCTCTTGACCTTCTGGGTAGCTCTATTGGCCAAGAATTTGCCTTTTTTGGCCAAGGATGCTACTTTTGGGCTCATTGCGAAGTGAGGTAACCATCGACAGAGACCCCACCCATCAACCGCCTTCTTCCCTTCTATCACTGGCCTCTGGCAGAGTTGACGGTTGTTTGCCCAATCGTTTGACCATGCGAGACGGCCTTGAACTGGAGGAAGTCATCATGAGTGCCAAAGGTTATCTGAATGGAATACTCCAAACAGTACTCCATTTTCCCGCTCAGCTGGAACTGAACAAGGTTCACACTTGCAAAGGGTTCCGAAGTCAGACGCATTTACGGCTGACTGGTGGACGAAAGACTTCATCATTTTAGCCAACTCATTACCCTTCTCGCTGAACGCCCACTCAACATCGCGAATAGCGGAAATCACAGTGAATAATACCCACTAGTTCCGCTTATACTTAGCCATGTACGCATTGCAGGAAAGAAGCGGAGCGGGTGACATACATTTTGGAAATAGGTGGAAATGCAATACCACCCACTTATCCTTCTCGTGCTGCTGGTATTTGGCTGCATCTGCTCCCAATTTCCCGATTTCCGTGCCAATCCAGTACCCGATCTCAAGCAGAGGCCTAGCAGATAACAGGTCAGCCGAGGACAACGATTCCTGTGGCGCTCTTGCTCACACGGATAGAATTTAACCGGTATGGCTTGTTGTTGGACCATTTTCCCATGCTGATGTTCACGGAACTGGACAGCTTCATCAACATTATTGAATATGAAAGGCCGTTGCCTGCGCAGAAGGAAGTCAGGATCAAGGGCAGTCTGCGTCTGGATGTTGGGATACTTACTTTTGAGTATCATTGCACTCAACTCACACAGAACTCCAACGAGAAAGTTGACATGGCAGACTTTCCTATTGGGACAAATGGCACGCTCGAAGTTGATTCCGTGTCGTGCACCCTTTACGGCGAAAAGGTATGTCTTCAGCGTCCTTTGTCGACGTTCGGAATTGCTGGGCGATCCTCTTCATCCGCATGATGCCGCGAGGATGCATCGATAGCAAATGGAAGGCATCCTGCGTCAGTGATTGTTGCGTACATATCTTAGGGCGCTCTGGACCCGTGCAGCCTCTTCCTCGAGCAGATAGAATTGTCTGCGATTGTGACTCGCTCAGGGAGCACCCGGACGTCAAGGCCTGATTGTCTGTGTGTGATCATGGTATCTGAAGAAGCGCACCCTTCTCCCAATTGCGAGGATTCCATAACCTTGTTCCGTTCTGCATGCTGCGATATCTCCGCAGCTGGTCTGCCCCCTCGTTCCAAATTGCGTCCTGCCCTTCGCCTTGCGCTGACATGCGGCGCCCATGATATGTCATGCATTCTGGGGATCATTGGACAGTCGGATCCATCCCCTGGATTCTGGTTAGTATGACGTGACGATGTAGGGGCATTAGGATCACCGCGTACTTGTGACGCTCAGTCAGATCCCCATGGACTATTACTATACTATTGAATAGTAATAGTCGCTTCCTCTCCTTCCTCAGCTTCCTCGGACGGAAATAACCCCCCTACTCATCATCGTCTTTCACTATCGGGTGGGGCTCTATAAAAACCAGTAATTAGACACCAAAGCTCGGTATTCCAGAGGAAACATAATGGTCTTCATACCAAGGGGCCCGCCAGTCTTTGCTTCTGTCTTTGCGCTCTTTCGAGCGCCGTCGACACGGGCATTGTCCACATTCAACATCTGAAAAACCGAGATATTAGGGCTCAATTCATAGGTATGCAGGGGTTGGTTGGTTATATGTACCTTATCGATCGAAAATTCTCCGAAGAGAATTTCGAAAAACACCAGCAACGACCCTCGGAGCAAGTAGATTTATGGCCTTTATGATGGCAGCTTCGGCAGACAGGACAGGTGCGGCACTGATCAATGATGTGTCCCTCCTCATGGCAGTAAGCGCAAGGAAGATTTGGACACCTCAAAGTAATGTGAAACCATGCAGATATTAAACATGTCACAGTATTTTGTTGACCTATCAGGCTGTTTTGGGGAGGTCGCTCTTTCGGATCCAGTTGCCATGGCGTTCTAGGACCCATGTATGGTATGGGCGACGCTTTGCCCCGGTTGGCATAGGAAATCCGGTCTCAGTGAGGAAGATTTCCTCTTTCGTCCTGGATGCGTGCGTCTCATTTTCGCTATCAGATGGCAGCACGGGCTCTTCTTCGTCTTGATGCTTGTAAACCACACTCGCGTGGATAGATGCAGCAAGTACCTGTACTCGTTCGTCATGTCGTTGACCCTGGCACTGCAAGGTCTGCGAAGTAGAAAGTGTCGTATTCCGCATCATCTTCTTTCCTGGTTTCCTGTTTCTGGAAGTAATCAGCGATGGAGACTTCATTGGAGTTTGGACTTTCAACGAATCCTTACATGGATGGTCGACGTTGCGGTTGTTCATCCAGTCGTACCCATGCTCCAAGGACCCCTTACTTGTGTCAGACAGGGCGAGGGGACCACCGCATGAAAGATTCGACCGGCACAGATGTGTCTCCTGTTCAGACAAGTCATTCTTAAATTGAATACCGGTGAAGAAAAACGCCGGCCAACGCCAGCCTCTTCCGACTTCTTGTCGAGGCCGTATATCTCCAATCGGTCTGGCGTTGCACGAGCGCTAGCCTCCTGCAATGGTTCGACAACGATTCGCAAGGCCAGGAACTGAAGCTGAGGGATCTCGCTGCCAGGCCTGTGCAAATACGCACCCTCCCACCCAACCGGCACTGGCGCCAACTAAACAACCGAGCCAGGAAGTTTGCATGGCGCGGACATCATACAAAAGTCTGGGATCTTTCGTGAGTTACCATAGGGCGCAACGATCTTGGACTATTCAGAGTCAGCAATATCGTATAGTATAATTGCAGGAGACTGACCTGTGTTTGTGAACACTTTGAGATTCCTGAGCTGGCGATCTGTAACAAGATTTTGCTCTCCAGTCAGATTCACCTCCCTCATCCACTGCCAACTTAACGATATGGATGATCGCCCATCATCCAGAGAGCAATCAGAATAACAATCGACATCGAAGGGAGAGCAAATTAAATTTATACTTACTCAATCAGGATGAACAATTGCGGTGGGAGCCAAAAGACTGGACCGCCGAATGTGGTGAACAAAGAAGGTCGAGGCCGCGTGGTATCAGAGGTGAAAGAATATGCAGTAGAAACTCACTAAGCAAGCACCCATGTTTCAGATTAGCAATTAACGGGAGCTTTCAGCAACAGCAAAGAGACCTGAGAGATAACTCACCGATCAAAATCAAAGGACGAAGCCTGACTTTCTGTCTGTCTTTGTTTACTATTAGTATAGCATGTAAAGAGCGACACAACCAGGATCCTAACCACTAGATAAAGCTTGACTAAAGGCTCAAAGAGCATCGTTAGCAAACAAAGATAGCAGAAGAGTAAAACGTGGCGAAGCGAATCCTTGGCTTGAGAATAAAGATGAAGTCAAACGACTCGGCTTCACCATTGCAACGCATATCCTTTACAAGTCGTCTGTGTGGCTCTGACCAGCCATTCTCGATAACGAAGGACGCTGATACTGGTTATTGGGCATCCCAGAGTCGCAGGGCTTGCGCGTGGTGCCACGGGGCCGGGTCAGGGCCGGAGGCGGGGGCACCACCACCTGGACCGCCGGAGCCCTCTACCTCTCCCAGCTTCCTGCAATAACATGACCTCGCAGAGTGAGAAGTCTCGGTGCTTGCTTGTATCTTGAAAAGGGGCAGGAGCCTGCTGGCTTAGTGTGGTTGCCTAGCTTGTGGTAGGGGCACGATTTATAGAGCCTCAGGCGGCCGTAGCAGTACAAGCATTCAAAATGCTGCCCAAAGCAGTTGGCACCTAAGTCAAATGAGAGCAGGCTGCTTTAGCGAATTGCAGATCAATGCCGTCGACGTACGATGTGTGTCTTGATACTGCTGTAATGAAATTGCTCAAAGGTCCAGTCACGGCTCTCAAGGGTATCGTTAGCAAAGCTCCGCTAAATTGGACACTGACACCAGAATCTGACGCCAGAAAGAGCCAAACACAAACAGCAGAAAGATTGTGGCGGACACAGGCGACGCAGGCCTTGAGACGCCTGCCGCGAACCGTCCAGCAGCTGCGGCAGCGGTGACGGGAGTAGCGGATCTTGGGACCCGTACATCGCCCGTAACCGACGTTCCAGGTCCTCAGGTTATGATGTTTTGAGAAGAGAGCCTCCGGTTGGCCAGGAAGAGCTGCAGGACCATGACCGCATGGATAACATCACCGTCCTCATGGTGCGTAGCTGAGGGTTCTGCTGGAAATGACCTCGTGAGAAAAGTGATCAGGAGACACAGCATGCAACAGATGAAGCCGGAGACCATATCACCACTTTTCTTCTTTTCTTCTTTTCTTCTTTTCTTCTTTTCTTCTTTTCCAGCTTGGTCATGGACTCTGAGACTCCTACTTCGATGACCAGAGTTGGCCATCCTCGGGTCTGTCCCCGAGTAGCCCGAGCAGGGAGGAAGCACCCCCGTTGCGCGGTACATCAGCGCTTGCAAGCACCCATAGCAGAACATCGCGGGGGCTGCAGGAGGAGGAGCAGGCGGAGTGGCGCTGCGAGGGGGACCAGCACGGCCAGACGCACGAGCACCTGGTTCTGACAGTGAACTTGCTGCCCATTACCATCCATCGGATCTCAGCTAGGCAGCGGACCTCAGCTAGGCACTCCCGTTCTGGATTGGTGTCTCTCGTCTCAGATCAGTCAGGCGGAACGAGAGGAACATGGCGATCCATTTTTTGGTTCGAAGCCTCGGTTCGGCCACCCTGGGGGGTAGCTATGAATTGGAAAGGCACTCCTCCGACAGGGTAGCGAATGTGTCCGAGTCGGAACGACGACCAACCAAAACCTGATCGTATGATCGTATTGAGAAGTCTACCAAGCGTCAGCGAAGAAGCCTCGAAACGTACCCGATACGGCCCATGAACGTACCTTCTGAGTCTTCTTAATGTCCCGGATGCATCTGTAGCTAGGTGGAATTGTAGATTATAGTCCGCTCCAGCAAATGCATTCTGATCTGGCAGGAGAACTCCCTATAGGGGACCTCTCGTGGAGAGGTCAGCTGGGGAGAGGGTGAGCAGGAGAGCTCCGAGAGCGGGGAGGGGGAACAAGATGACATTCACTTTGGCAAAAAAGAGAACGGTGCAGTTGACCAGGAAGATACTTCGCAATGACTACTTCATGCTTGGGATTATGAAGAATGTAGGGGACAGGGAAAAAGGAAAGATGAGATGGTGAGGGGGGCAAGGAAAGGCAAGACGGTGCCTGAAAGAAAAAGAATGAAGAGGTGAAAATTGATGAACAATAGGGCAATGGCATTGTAGTAGTGAATGGGATACTTGGAAAATGAATGAATACAGTGGATATTGCCCCAGTGGGAAGTGGATTGGTCCATTATAGTGAAGGTACACGATTCGAAGGACAATATGATAAGGAACAAGAAGAAAAGAAAGTATACAGTTTTGTAGTTGATCATTGCTTGAGGAGAAGGCTTCAGTCGATATTTATGTCGTTAGAGCTCTGGCAAGAAAGAAAACTTGCCCCAAAGAAGATATGCAGAAGCAGTCCATATGCATTACTGTCCAAGTCCCTGCGGCTTCCCTTACCCAAACGGGAAGACATGAAGCTATCCGAAACAACGGCAACAATATGTCCTATGGTTACTTGCAACAAGCAGCATATACTAGTAGAGTCATCACTAGCTACAAACACATTACCATTCTCCCTGAAAAATCTCGAATGAAACTATTCCTGAGTGGTCCTGTCTCACTGTCAGTAGCCGTTTGTCTCACACGTAGGTCTTCAAACTTGGTACACAACAGCCGTTGACTTGCACTCACAGCGCCTCAAGGGATATCCAAATAATCTGTAATATATGCTATCAGAGGTGTTTGATTGATGCTTTCTGTGTCTGTTATTATGAGTCTATTTCAATCAGGTATAATGTTTAGCTGTGATTGGGCGACGGATGCGCCCTTCAGACGACATTTGATCCACCGGATACGAATACCACCTCCCCTACACCATGGACGTTTCAACTTTCAGTCTCTCTTTATCAAGAAAGTTAATAAAATTTCAAACAAGATGCAGCAATCTGGTAGCGCAGGTACCTACGAAATGACTTCAATACACCATGACCAACCAACCAATCTATTGGCAGTGCAGGACGGAGATATGCAAACGGAGGGCAGAGTCAGCTGGGCGTATCCAGAAGGAGGCTGGGAAGCCTGGACCTGTCTACTGGGCTCATTTCTGATGATGTTTCCGTCGTTTGGCTTTCAAACCGCAGGTAATCATCTCATCTTCTAATGGACGACGGCTACTGACATACGACAGTCGGATCGGTCCAGGACTACATCAGCACCAACCAGCTGGCAAAGTACAGCGTCCGCGATGTGGGCTGGATCACCGCCATTCTCGTCTACCTGACTCTATTCCTTGGAGTCCAGGTCGGACCACTGTTTGATCGATACGGGCCGCGGATTCTGTTGGTGGGTGGCTCCCTCGCTAACATTGCGTCCTATCTTCTGCTGGCACAATGTAGAGCATACTGGCACTTCGTGCTCTGCCTCAGCGTATTAGGAGGAATCTCGTCTGCGGTCATTACCACCGTCTCCATTGCCGTGCTGAGCCACTGGTTTAATCGTCGCCGGGCGCTCGCCTCGGGAATCTGCATGGGCGGTTCCTCCGCCGGAGGGGCCATCATCCCTCTGCTGCTGCGGAAACTCTTCCCGCAACTGGGATGGACATGGGCTATCCGCACGATTGCGTTCATGGCTGTTGTCTGCTACACGGTTGGCATCACCATGGTCAAAGGACGACTTCCCACCGGTCATCGGAGCCGCGCAACCGTTGATCTGGGGGCTTTCAGATCCCCCCGGCTATGCTTCCTCGCTGTGGCGGTCTTTTCGTTTGAGTTTATCATCTTTGGCTGCGCAGCGCTGTTACCCACCTATGTCCGTTATGCTGGTTTTCCTCTGGACGTCCAATTCTACTCCCTCACCCTGCTCAACAGCATGAGCTTCTTGGGGAGAGTGCTTCCCGGTTTAGCAGCGGATCAACTCGGCCGGTTCAACATTCTCCTGGCGCTGGTTGTCATGACGCTTTTGGTTATGAGTACCGCGTGGCTCCCGTTTGGCTCTCGTGATCAAGCTACGTTGTACGCTGTCGTGGCTGTTTTTGGCTTTGGGTCCGGGGGATGGCTGTCCCTGGCGCCTGTATGTGCGGGCCAACTGTGTCGGACAGAGGAGTATGGACGATTTTACGGGACCATCTACAGCGTTGCTGCGTTTGGAGTATTGCTGACCGTTCCTGTTGGAGGAGAGCTGCTGCAGTCGACTACTCCGCAGGTGCTGATTGGTTTCTACTCGGCAGTTCTCATGGTGGGACTGGTGAGTGTAGTCATGGCTCGATGGGCCTTGTTGGATTGGCGGTGGAAGTGGAGGGTCAAGCTGTAGCTGATGCAGTAACTTGATTCGTATCGATAGAATAGAGCGAAGATCAATTGATTGATATCGGTCGATGGTGAATGCCTAGGCTGCTGTGAGTATCTCTGCCATCTTGACCACTTGGGCTTCATCTCTGGTTCTCAAACCCGGATTTCGTCGCTTCCACTTCGTCTATCAGCAGTTGTCGCCAACTCAGAGAGTAATTATCGGATTAACGACTGGAATATGTATTGGATTCCGTATTCTAGTTTCTATTTCGTCGCCACAGTCACATCCATCAAAAAGACTTGCACACTTTGCATCTTCCTCGTATGGAACCTCGGATGTTGGATTACATTATGGTATAGCCCTGCGTCTCCTCCTCCTGCCCCTGTCCCAGAGGATCTGATGATAGACATGGGAGGGGCAGAGTCTGATGGCGCTGTTAGGTATAGCCCTGCGTCTCCTCCTATTGCTAGTAAGATGGCTGAGGCAGTAAGCAAGGTCTATATGATTATCATCTTGCAGTTGTTTAAGGGGTACTAGACTTAGTTAGTGGAGCTGATAAAGGTCTTAGGGCTAGATGAGCAAGATGTTTGAGATTAACTAATAAAGCTATTCTAGGAGAATGGCAGGACTTCTGATTTAGTGGCTAAGGAGGCCATAGTCCTTATGACCATGCTGGTAATAGTGTATCTCTCCACTAAGTGTGTGGCAGATCACTCAGTCTAGGAATTAGTGTATGATAAGGCTGAGGAGTAGAAATGACAGAAATTTATGCAGACAGGTGAGAGGGGAGATGTTCTCAAGGTAATGGAGAATGAGATCATTGCCTTGGTATGAGTTTACAATGTATGATTTCTCTTTGGCAATAAGGATGCTTAGTATTTAGCTTATGTCTAGCTGTAGTTCCATGTTTCTATTAGTTGATATCAAATGAGTATACTTTAGTTGAAGAATAGCAAAGAGAAAACTATCTGCTTTGCATTGGAGTGTAGTCCGGCCGTTTCAATCCTCGCGTTTATGAGATGACCGATGCTTTTGGCAACACTAGATTTTGTCGGGATCGAGGAATACAGTACTCTTTTACTTGCATGGATTTATGTCAGATGAAGAGAGTGCATACCTTATCTCTCCAGTAGACAGGTCATAAAAGGAATATTAGTTTTGGACTCTTGGTCTTTTCCAGAGAGGTGCTTAATCATTATTCACTGTCTTTATTCACTGTCCTTTGCAATTCACTTTCTATTAAAGAGGCATTATCTTCCTAGCATTCAATGAAATTCCATTCACTACTTTCATCCATTCAACCATGGTACCCTGTCCCTGTATATAAGACTGCAGCACCTCTCCAGGAACTTTCTTCAACTTTTCTCATCATCTGGTTTCCCTCAACCTGGTATGCAAAGATTATCTGATATATCCATACGTTCACATTAATGCTTCGAATTCCTTACTATGACTGATAGATTATTCCAGTAAGACGGATCACCTCCACATGAAGGCTCTCAAACATGGTACTGACTTCAGTTAGTTCAATCTAGATGCCAAATGGCCTGTCTCCCAGCCTGTTGATGATTCGACATAACCCACATATAATGCTATCAACACCAGTAATGGATGAGGCAGATGCAAACAGACACTCAGAATGATACCCCAGGATCCTAGTGCATACGGATACTGCACTCTGCCTTACCACTGTTGATAGCAGTGTTGGGGACTGAAGCATGGTCCTCTCAATAATGAATGCTCCTGCCTTCTATGGAGGTCCATGTGGATTCCATTGCAGTCTCGTTTCACCATCACAAGCTGGTGAGAGCCGCATTCGCGAATCTCTTGTTGGCTGCCAGGCACCGATGGCTCTTGAGGTCAGGCTAACATTCTCTGAGGGACCCATGGCCCCCGCGTTCAGTTGCCGCCGCCTCCCCCACCTCCTGCGCTCTTTTGCTACCGGTGCTTGCAAGCACCAACAGTTCGTGCGGCGGGAGTGCTTCACTCCCTGCGAGGGCTACTCTCCTTCAGGGGGGAAGTGCTCCCGCTGCGCGAAGATGCACCAGTCGCGCCTCTCTGTATGTTGATTTCCAGTGTTTCTTGCTTGACGCATCTGTTGACTTTTGCTCCCTGGCAGTTCCCGGCCACAGCTTTGCCGTTGGCTCGTCGCGTGGTCCTGCTCTCCTGCGCTGCCGACCGTTCCCCCGCCGCCACCAACGCTGCGTCTTTGGCGGCCGTCGTCGCCGCGGCCCGGGCTTTCAAGGCTCGGGTCCGCGCCGACGGCGGCCCATTGCCTCGTGGCAGTGCGCCTGCGTCCGTCCGCCCGCCTGCGCCGGCTCATTCCTGGACCGCCATACTTTGATATTGAAATCACACTGGGGTTCTATGTCGACGTACCACGAGTCTTCAGAGAAGCGGATGCTCGAGCAGCCGTACAGCTGCTAAGATATGAGATGACTCCTGATGAAACACCTTAGTCCCAAGGCGTCAAACGCTATCCCGGTGGATTCGCCAGCAGAGGCACGAAATCATGTTATATCGTTCTTGCTCAGACGTGCCGAAGAAAACTTGCTACTAAAGCTGTCATAGGACAACCTCACTAAGGACATCCGTCATATTTTGAAAAAAGCCTCAGAGAAAAAACAGCAGAGTTTGTTTCAAACATCTAGGTAATCAGCATAACTGTTGGACGCCTTCTGCCGTCGAAGCTGGATTTCGACACACCCGAGGAAACGCCTCCTTGGAAACCATGTGGAATACCACTGATGAAAGCCGGGATGACTAGAAGCATGGGAGCGTCCATGGCAAAGGCTCAAGCCCTTTCTTTGAATGCTTATCAAGAAGTTTACCTCCAACTTCATTTTTCCGCGAAGAAAAATAGGATTTGGTTTGCTTTCACTGACATTGGGGCTCAACTTGTTAACCGCTCTCTCATCTATCTCGACCCTCAACACCGCGAGGACAAATTCAATAATGAGAAAGGCTTGGACCCGCTGCAATTACGTCCGATTGAGTTGCACCGCAGGAACTGGTTGCATCATCGATGGTGGTAACTCCTGGCAGAGATGAAAAGGATGAGCAGAGGCTGACCAGAGGCGGCGGTGCATGATGTAGCCCTGATGGTGACAGCCAGGGGCACCTTGACTGGCGCGTCATGCGCCTCCTGTGTCATCTCTTATTCAGTGTCACACTTAATGACTACTACCATTCAGCTGATGATGAGGTTGATACAATGGCGGCAGCAATTGCAAAGAGTGTGGACCGGGGCGACCGCGGTTTTGGTGACTTCTGGTGGAAGACCACACCAGGCATTTGGAACATGATGCCAATGACGCGTTTGGCCAAAGCAGAAGAGGGTACAACCATCGACCAGTTCATCACAATTCACAACCGGAAACAAGCAAGCAAAAGTTTACCGCAGTCGTATCTCATCAGGGACAAGAAGAAAAAGGCCAGTGCAGTTCCAGAGACCAGGATATCCAGGCCCCGAGCGGCTAAGGCGGACATTGGGTCGCGCTATCGCGAAGAGAGCAGTGACTCTTAGCAGACTGAGATGTTTAGTGCTGGACTATTAAGTGCCATGGAGGCCTCGCGTCCAGCAACTAACCTGGAACCATACCCAACCACGCCAGATGAAGCAATTATGAATGTGCACCTAGTGCTCCTCATCCAGGAACTAATTAACCTGAGGAGGTCATCAAGCCTCGAATGCACAATCACGCGCGTGCGATTTGTGCCCAAGTTTGGGACTAACTCATTCACTAGTATTGTTAATGGTGTGGTGTGAGCAGAACGGAACCGCATCAGGACTGAAGCAGCACATGCCATTCAGTATGCCCAGAGCTGAATGGCGTTCTATTTTGATCGCAAGGACAAGCCTATGTATACGTCTGGTGATCTCCATAGTGCACCTTGAACAAGCCCCAGACGACCCTTGGCGACAACCTTGAGGTCAAGCCAATAGTCAGATATGCCAAGGTGGTTCCTGTGCAAATGCAGGAAACAGCTGAGGCCATTGGATGGCTAAAGCAGCAGTCAGGGGCAGTTCCCCGGAAGGTTTGCCTGGTGGCCCATCTATTACTTAATTGATAATTGAAGCCCTAGAGATGGATTCTACCAATAACCAGCCACACTAAAAGGCAAGAGTCGGGCTCCACGAGGCGACTCTGGCATTAGGTTCTGAGGACAAGGAAAACCGCGTCCAAAATTCAGAGCCCAGTCCAGCTAGAAAGTGACGCCGGGCTAAGGGCTAGGATGAGATTCTGCAGGAGCATGGTAAAGGCAAGAGAAGACTTTCTCATGTTGAGGAAGACGTGGCTCCTTCAGGAGGGGTCTCCACCTCAACGCTGCCATTCAACGACGACAAGAAATCCGACGCCATAAAGGGCGGTAACCTTGACGCCGAAATCGACGCCTTGCTAGACAACGAGACCAACAACGATGAAATCGAAGTCATCGGTGATGATGACCTTATTGCCAGTCCCGACGACATCGATGAAGAGGATTTCGTCATCTGACCCTCCTCAGGTTTCGTCAACAGCGCCGCTCACGTCCAACGTCATATTGATAACAAGTTCTGCGACATGAATCTTTCTCCCTGCCTATATCGATGATTATATATGCCATTCTCGCACACTCGAGTCCAATATGCTTAGTGGTTATTCGCCAAGCACCCTACCTATCTGGTTAACGGCAACAAAATGACCGATCAGGATATCACGTACTTCCGTTCCACTGTAGGGACATGGAAGGTACTGATCCTTACTTACATACCTTCAGATACGCCGACCAGTTCTTCTGTTTTGAATGCTGGGAATTCCTGTCGGCAGACAACTTTTTCGAAGATCAAATCACCGGAAAGCGCGGCAAGAACAGCTATACATTGAGCACACCTTGAGTTAAACGCCATGGTGACGATCCAGGTATGTTTAAATGTTCCACACCATGGTCTGATGGATTTTTCATGCTTTTTGATGTTCGATTCGTTTCATGCTAATCTATGCAAACCTGTGCTTCAATCACGGTGGCCGTGGTGGCCTCGATACTTGTTTTCTTCGCTTCTCCGATCAGTTAGTCTTTGGCATAGACGACAGAGCAGAGCTGTCTGTCCTTGACAGAGTAAGTACTGGGTATATGGATCTGATATTTGCTAAACAGATGCTAACTTGTACAGCTACAGCTCAAGAGGTTCGCAAACTAGTGGGAAACCTTATGCAAGCCCACCAGAATATCCAGTCTTGGATGGCCTAGGAGCACCTTTTCAGACAATGGATCCCACTTCACAGGAGCGATGCTGATCGATCATTTGAGACATCGTGGGTTCGTCATGTTACTGCTCCGATCTCCCATTATTTAGCAAGGACACTTGACGAGCCAGAACCCCGAGATCCTGACTTCCGCACCCAATGCTTGCGGCGCGATGGAGACCGGTGTGTGATACCAAAGCCATGGACATGAAGAAGTGGATTCAGAAAGGATCACCAGAGATTGAGAATGTCAACTGGGTTAATCTGGAAGCGGCCCACATTATCTGTTGAGATTCTATCACTAGACCAAGGAGTACATCGGACTCGAAATTGAATTCTGATATCCGATTTTGGTTGAACCCTGATGGTGGAAATGCCAACATATGCTTGACACTCCGGATCAATAGGTCTCGGCCTGACGACAAGTCCGTGGATGACGAAAGAGAAGGAGGACGCTACACTCCGTCAATCTCATACGTTTCTCCCCGAATTCTACCTCGTCGAACGCCTCCTCCCGTCTAACGTCTAAACTGGAATTCGATACACCTGAGGAGACACCGGCTTGGAAAACGTGCCCAATCAATGTCCCAAACAAGGACGCAATTGCTGAATGGCGGTCGTTATTATGCAGGATGGTGCTGGAAGGACCAGAGACTTTCAATTGATCTGCCGGTAACTGTGACTCTCTGCCTAAAGCATGATGCATTCTGGGACAGCACAATTTGCTGGTTCCCCTCATGAAGGCAGGCATGACGCGAAGATGCCTAGCCCCTAGTGGTATAAGATTTCAACACGAATGCTTGGTTACGGGGACGAACACAACCGGTGGATAACTGCGGAACAGCTCTGGGACGCGAAAGAACTAGCCGACGAATTCAATGCTCTAGAGAACAGCGTCGTCGACATTGACGAGAACTAATTGGAACTATCCTTAGTATAATATCACCGTCGCATGTCATATTTGTCACTGTAAACAGATGTTTTCTGCTACTTACCTTTAACCCGCTTCGATCACCAGAAGGAACAGGAACAGGCTTAGAAAGGATAGAAATCAGGCGATGATGACGATGTAAGAGAGGATGCGCCCCCCTTGAACAGAAGCTGCGTTGTTGGAGAAATAAAGACTCCATGGACCACAGGCCGGCTGGCTTGTTGAGAAATACCTAGATTTAATCTAAGCAGAATCTGTAGTTTTATACACATCCTTATTGCTCAACAGGAAACCATGGGATCAAACTTATTTCCAAGCAGGCTGCCGACAATGCAGAAAGGTATTGTGGCTAGAAGCGATCCTCCATACTCTGAAGCAAAGTGATACTCTTACGAAAGACTGAAACATCAGACCAAGTCTCTATGTAGTCATTAGAAGTTCACTAGAGCATTTAGCCTTTTCGATCAAAGGATAGCTCAGCGGATTACGGAGTACAAGGTAGAGCATCTAGCTCAGAGTATATTCAGTAAGAAAGTCGTCGTTGTATCATCTTAATCCTACGTTGGAAATGCTAGTCAGATCAAAGAGGTATACATTTATTGAGAGCGCGATGTACTGAGTAATCGTCCTTTCCTTGTATTGCCATACTCGAAGTAAGCTAGTCCAAAATGTTGTCCAAAATGTAAACCCAGATGCTCGCGGATAGGTAGTCTTAGCGACTGCACCTACGACACAAGTCCGTCATTTCAGCTATCAGTACCGACATAGTTGCCGGCGTGACCGACTCAATCCCCTAAAGGTAGCGCTTAGCAAGCAGAGTTGGTCTGCGTGAGGAGACCAAGTCTCCAAGGAAGCGAGTTGTAATCTCCACTTGCCGTCGGGCTCATTCCCTGATACAGATACCGCAGCTTGCAAGGGCTTATAGTCATGGTCTGGTCGGTCTGAGTGCGGATCATCTCCCCGTGGCTGATACTCTTCGTCCAAGCAGTCCCGCTAAACGCAACGTTGGTCGAGCGCGCAAAGGGGTTCGACTCCGTGTTGGCCAGGGCGTTCCACGTTCCCGTCAGACTGTTGGAGGTCCACGAGCGGAAGTACCGCTGTCCGTCGCTGCCGATCGCTTCCACGAGAAGGAGATACTGTCCGTTTCCGACGTTGTAGACGTTCGATGCCTCGAACAGGGCGTACTTGTTCGAGTCGGAGAGCGCGATCACCGTGTTACCCATTCCGTTGGGGAAGTTGGCCAACGAGGTCTGCGAGCGGTACAGATGGCCGTTGTCGTCTGATGAGAAAAGGTAGCAGTTGCTTGAATCGCAGATGGTCCACATATCGACCCATGAGCCACTGCCCATGTTCTGGCTGATGATGCTGGGCACGCTGCTGAAGAAATTCTTCGGGGCACTCCACCCGGCTGGGTTGGCGATATTCGGATTGGTGGAGTATGCTGCGTTGCCGTTCTGGTAGACCAGGTACCAGAGGTTATGGGGCTTGAAGAAGAAGACCTGCGGTGCGGCGCGGTAGCCCGAGCCGATGGGGGTCTGGTCGAGGTAGTGGAAAGTGGCCGAGTTGGCCTGGTTGAAGTCGGTGAAGCTGAAGTAGACGAGGTTGTAGCCGGACCCCTTGGCCGTGCTGGCGAAGACGTGGTACGTGCCGTCCACTTCGACAATGGATGGATCCTTGATACCAGCGATGTTGTGGCTGTCGGACTTGGGGCTGACCAAAACACCGCTGGAGCTCCATTTGAAGCTGGTGGGCAGGCTGGCTGCCGCCGCAAGGGTGGAGATGAGAAGAAGGAGAATTGGAAGCATTTTCATTTTGTCGAAATGGCTTTGGATTCTGGTATTTGACATTCTGCAGGCCTCGAGGGCTCTTTATATCCTGGCCTTTGCCTTATGTCTCACGATGTCCCTAAATCAACGATTCTCATCCTAGAGACGGTGCTGGAACTCTGGGTAAATCCGCGATCGACCTCGCGCCTGAAACGCAACATCGTCTGATGAAGATTAGCCTTTCCTGCATTCATCATCTTGCTTCCTGCCAAACGACAAGGATATACGGAATATTACCGAGATGGGCTCATCCGACCTCAAATCCGCGACAAAACAGGAAATTGGAGGACTCCAGCTCGGCAGCTCTATCACCTCCATCTGCCGTCCGATCGTCAATTGTCATCTATTTCCCTCACACTAGTCCCCTGTCCTGTTGCAGATTGACACCCCCATTACCCCAAACGGCATCAGAGTGCGGAGAATCGACCATCTTGGCGCCTTCTCCGGACCCTGAGCTCCACCGGGAGGATTCAGCCTAAATTAGTGACGAAGTCCTGTCTCGGGATGTCTTAGTCTTAGCCTCTTAGCCTCTTGGGTGTGGGTTGACAGTACCGTGAGTCTAGGCGTGTCCGGCCTCCGTGATGAAACATTAGCAGCTTTGGTCAGACATTCTGGTACCATGCGATTGAGGTTGAGATATCTGCAGGCAGTCATTCTTGTATACCTTCGAGCATTCCAAGACATCTATCCAAGATCAACCGGCGTTCTGTTTTCGACATTAGGACTATACTCGCCATTAGTATGAGCATGGTAAGGCATTATCGAGACAGAGACTTCAATGTGGCGTTCTGCTTGACTAAGTAGTGATCAAGATATGTTATGCCAGAATGACTACAACAGCCATCGGTAACATAACCCAAAGCTAGAGCAGGATACGTAATCTTGCCAGTGAATACGTATCTATCCTGTGACACTGTAGATGCATTGTCTAAAGACATCGTGTCTAACAGCCTACAATAATGAGTCCACAGCTTCAGCAAGTGACCCTGACAAAAATGCAAGGGAGGAGTGTTGTTGTGGAAGGCAAAGCTACAAACTCACCACTCTTTCGCTGAAAGGTGCACTATGACCTGGCCCAACGACAGGCAAATTTATGCTTAAAGAATTAAAGACGGAATGCCATCTGTATGAATATACCTGAGGAAACTCAAGTCAACAACAATGCATTCAAACTCTACCTGCACCACTAAACAACGTCACCAGCTTGCAGCTTAGAACCATCGAAAAGCAAACAAACCAAAGAAACCAGAAGACAAAAACACTCACATCGCGTCCATCCCATTCTCCCCGTCCCTTCAAAATCCCAGGCCGAAAGCGAACCCATCTACAGACAGTCAGCGCCGCTTCGCCTGCGCCTTCCAAGCATGGTAGGGCATGAGGCTCCATCCAAAACTCCAGGTTCTATCCTCGATAACCAGGCAGAGCCCCTCACCGGCCAGCTCATTCTTGTCCCAGTCCACACTAAGCTGCTGGATCTTTGTGCGCGTCGCCATCACGATCTGGTCCTCGTTCATTCCCTCCGGTTTCAGGAACAGGACCACGTTGCCGCGCTTGACGGCGCCCGCGTTCTTCATGGCCTCGAAGGAGGGGTAGATCTTTACGTCCCGGTGGTAGATCTTGTGGTGGAGGCTCTCGAGGAGGATGGGGGTTAGCTTTTTGGGACCTGTTTTGACGTCGAAGAGGACGTGGACCCAGGGGACGTTGTCGCTGGTGGGTTCGGGGGGTGGCTCGGTTGGCTGGGACTGGGCGGATTGATTGGTAGCCATTTCGATTGCTGGTTGCGTTTGCGTTTGCGTACCTTGACAAGAGGGTTTGTATAAAGTCGAGGGATATTTTGTATTCGGGAGGATGAGGGAGGATGATTGAGAAGGTTGGTTTGAACGAGAACCAGTCTTGGGCGGGTATCGGACTGAATTTATATTCAAGAGTACGACATATTCAACGCAGGATTTGTACAGATAATTGCACTGTCCTGAAAAAAGTCAAGACACACCTGCTCTATGGTGAGAGACATTGTAGAAAGAATTGACAGTGTTCCTTTGCGATGTGTATCAAGTGTCAAAGTGAGGCTGAATGGAAGAAGGCCAATGCCTTGCAATCTATTATCATGTCTAAGAGGCGACTACAAAGCGGTTTATGTATGAACCTGATTTGTCTCATATCCCTTGGTCATCCAGGTCGGAGAGGCTGATCCTTAGACAAAGGGACCGGACACAAAGCCGCTACATCTTTTATGCTCATTATTTCGGGTGCAAACCCTGGCATTATTTCATTCAAGTATGCATCTAGGGATTAGAAGAATATGAAACCATTTGCGGGACTGTTTTGTTATGTATCTTGTTCCTAATTTGGCCTTTGACCATGGCTGTCTAACTCGAGGCAGGGGACTTCATCCATCAGAAACGGATCTCGAATTCAAATCTAATCCTCTCAATCTTTCAAAGATCGTATCCTATTCCCTTTGTTACTCAACGATATTGAGTGTGCCCGAGAAGCCACATAATGCCCAGCAGTACACCGATGCGGGCTAGGTGATGTGCCTATGTACCGCTGTGTCTAACATAGGTTGGATGGTGAAAGATGATGACAAGCTAGCGCCATCTCTTCTTTAGCACTCTCGAATGCGACTCGAACAGAACAGGGACCGATGGACGAGGGTCAGTAAACCGAACGGAAGTTTATTATGCGCCTTTTGCTATCATTGAGCCCAACCCTGATGGCCTTGACAAAGCATGATACATGGCCTCTCCCATCCAATGGAAGCACAACAAATGATGAACTCACAGCCACCAACTCCGATGTTTCCTCCAATCCTGCATCGTCCCTTCAGCCAGATCATCCACATTGATAAAATCCACCCCCTCCCGAACCAAAACATGCCAGACATGATTGCGCAGGCCCCGCGGCCACGTCGGGGTCCCCCAGTACCTGACCTTCAGGCCGCGGTCATGAGCCGCTGCCACTTGTTCGCGGACGCGAGCCAGCTGGTCCTGCGAGAAGCGGTTTCGGGAGAGAGATCCAATGGTCTTGCGAAAGTCGACGGAGGCGTAGTAGCTGTTGGTATAGTTGTAATCGGAGGCTGCAGCTCTTTGATCTAGGTTGTCCAACGGAGCGTCGAGGAAAATGTCGCGGTAAGTGCTATTAGCCGCAATAAGATGGAAGGGGGCATCTCCCGAGGCGACGACCGTCACAGGACGCTGAACCGTCTCAGCCCCGTTGAAATGCGTCAGGTAGCCCGACTCGCGCAGCGGAGCGAGCTGCTCGACCAGGTAAGACCAAGTATCATTGCCGTCCGATTTGAAGTCGATGAGAAGAACGAGTGTCTGGGACGGGTTGTGAGCAAACACACCCGCTAGATCCTGCGCATTTCTGTCCGGCTGCAGCCGACTCGAGCGGGTGTTGTGCCGCTCAAGCAGATCCAACAGCGGATCGAGGTATAAACTGCGCAGTGTGGTAGCGTGGTGCAATGTGAAACGGTTGTGGCCGACAAGAAGATCATCTCCGGAGAGCCAGATGTCCGCCTCGACGCCGATGCAGCCCGCTCTGAGGGCTGAGAATAGCGGGACGGGCCGCCAGTAGTCGTTGTGTGAGTGACATTGCACGGGAGTGATCCCGTGGGTAGTCCAGTGAGAGAATATCGATGGTCGTCCACCGGGGAAGACCCAGGCGTCCAGACGGGCGTCGAGGTCGTCGGGAAAGAGGTGGACTAGACCCGTCCACAGCAGAGAAAGGACCTTTAGAAATCCTCTAAGACGCAAGTCAGTACCTTATGTCAGGATGGAATTGCATGAGGAACTTACAGTATCCAAACTAATGCCCATAACGGTCTCTTGACCCCTCTGCAGATGATTGCGCGCTGAGACAGAGGGCGAGCATTACACTCGACATGGGAACATTTCCAACCATTTAGAAACTGCGACAGCCACTGGCATCTGTGCTTGTATCTGCTATGTGGATGGTCTGAGACGTCAAAGGGTAACATTTTTGGACCTGGAAGGTCACCAGGAATCATCTCCAATAGAGGGAAAGTATCCTGGGATGAGGAGCTTCCCGCCTCACACTCGTCGGCAGTTGATACAGGTACCATCGTAACTGCAAAATACGCCAACTGCTAAAGTTGGGAGGTGAGGTTACAAGAGGGATGATCCTTAAGACACGCGACCTCTACCAGGATGACGCGGCCCACACGACACAATGATCCATCATCCAGAGTTCGACAGCCAAAAAACTTCCTTGATTGCTTGATCCCATTAAGCTCCGGCAGTGGCAATTGATCGGACCAATCACAGACTGCCAGAATGATGCTCCGTTACAATCCACCAATCACTGCTGCGCAATTACCTAGAAATCCGGCTGCCTAATTTGACCTCATCTTCATCTCTCTACTGCAATACTGTATAGTGTGCAGAAGTATACCTAAACAGCAGGGGGTTTATCAGCGAGTAGAGAAGATTTATCTACTCGTGTCTCTCTTCCTTTGCTGTTGTTTCTTAGACTTTATACCATGTTCGCGGAAGGCAGCACAATAGTCAGCTCTTTTCTCGCCGAGTCTTGCAGAGGAATTCCCTTTTTATGAGAGTCTTGAGGGATATGGAAGAGGCAAGAAGGGCAAATCTCCCTATATAGACAAACTGTATGTGAAATGGACTAGATTTCAATTCCCTCATCTAATACAAGATGAAGCTTTAGATGACAGCGTATTTGCATATTCCATGACGTTGCAGGTGGGGTGAGATGCGGTCTTCCGCATCCCCCAAGGATTACTATTTCCGGACATCTTAACATGAATGCCAAGAGAATCATCAGAGTATGGCACAATATCACACATATCAACTCTGATTCAGATGAGGCTGGCTGGACCAGCGCACAACAAGGGTCCCTTGCAGACTATCAGGAATAACAACATGGGCCAAATTCATACTGTGCTTCTCATTTGTCACAATAAGGGATTGTGAAGTACATTAACCCATGCATTCATCTTAGCCCAAGGGCAATGAGTGCTCTGATTTGCCAGAGGCTGCTGATCTGCATAACCTATCACATCGTGCAAGGGATCGCCCTCGCTAATGTGCGCCGCTCTGTATAGCTGGCCCTACTAGGATTTGGTTGGCTCTAGGAGTGGTTACGCAGCGTAAGACCTGCATGAGCTGGAATCTCATCTATTTGAGGGCGTGATCGAGGGAGCCAACGAAGGATAATATATACGACAGTGATTCTGTCTTTCTGCAGCTTCTTCCTTTCTTTATTTCTACTCATCCCATCGCCGACTGTTGTCAAAGTCAATTCTTCGCATACACAGGTGCGCAGGATGAACAAAAAGGCAGGAAGAGGAGATCTCAGTTCATCCATGACGGCCTCAACCTCAGCCATAATCGAAGACTTTGTCGCTTCCTACGAGAAGCAACGCGACTTCTACATACACACCGCCATGGCTGCTAGAAAGATCTGCGAGGCAGCCCTCGAAAGACACCATATACCATGCCTAGCCAGCCATCGAGCAAAAGCTATATGCACGACAACTTCTCCGAGACCATGTCTACTCGAGCAGAGAAGAGATCAAAAGCGACATTTGCGACCTCGCTGGCGTGCGTATCGCTCTCTACTATCCTCGGCACGGAGAGGAGGTCAAGAATATACTCAACGATGAATTTACTGTCCTGGAAAGAAAGACCATCAACCGTACGGGCATAGACGAGGCCATCCACGGCGGCTACGATCGATGGTTTCCGGGCTACTGCGCAAAGCACTATCGAGTTCACCTCAAGAACGGGACGGTCAATCAGGAAGGCGTACCCGTACACAATACAAAGGTTGAGATCCAGGTCGTCTCCGTGCTCCGGCATGTCTGGGCCGAAGTGGAACACGATGTGGTCTACAAGGGGAAGCTCAGGGCGAGCCGAGACGACCACCGTATCCTTGACGGTTTAAGCGGTGCGGTCTTCCTCGGGGAATGCTTTCTGGATCAACTGTACCAGACTCAGGTGGTCAAGATCACCGCCGACGACAAAGGTTTCGAATCAATCTACGCGCTCGGATCGTTTATGTGGAATTGGACCGCCTCTCTCGGGCATTGCCAGGTGGAATACCCCGTCGAAGTGGAGTTTCTGAAAGATCTGCTCGAAATTCTTGGACTCAATAATCCAAAGACACTGTGGGACATTTTGAGTCAGATCGACCTGTCTACTCGAGGAGGGAGCGAGTGGCATGCTTTCCGGGCGGCTTTTCACCCCGCCAGATCCAGTCTTACGATGTTCATAATGGACCGGATCCTTGCAATGCCGGTCGGATCCAGCAAACTCGAGAATGCTCCAATGGAAACTCTCGCACCTGCAGATCGAGCGAGACATGAGCTTGGCGTTGTTTCTAGTTCATTGATATGGCTCGATCGAGTCTATCCACTCTCGTCTCATTTATTCGGAGCCCTGTTCGCCAGTGACTCATGGGACCGCTATTTACCCGGAATCAGGTGGCTTGATTCGCGGAAACCGCAGGATTATTGGAGGGGAAATGCAGTGCTTACTGACGAGGAAAGGCAGAGGATCAACGGTCTATTCGAGTGCTTTGCGCGAAACAAGCAGAAACCCATTCAGCTTGCGTTTGCGCTTGCCAGATTGGGTGTTCTTAAGAGATACGCTGCTGACTGGCTGGCATTGCATCGCGTCATCTCACCGTTGCTTATTGTGATAAAGGCTCGATATTAGGAAAGGCATGTTTGTGCAAATTAGTTACTGTGAATAGATGTATACCTGTGAGGGATATTTCCTAGCACACTGTGCAGAAGCGAGATTACTCCTGCAATCAAGCGAGTCAAGGCACACATGTGTCTCTTTGTTAGATGAAAGTGGACAAGTCCAACGCAGAGCATAAACATAGTCACAATGAGTATGAATAGACAGATTGGCCCCATTGGTGCAAAATCATGCAAAAGGTTCCGATAAGGTCAAAACAACAATCCTTGACCAATGGACGAATGACGATTCGAAGCAGCTCATGGTTGCCTAGCGGTAACAACCTCTAGGCGAGCATCGATACCGAGCAAGCACCATACCTAGCCATAAGACAGGCCATGTGAGAGAGCTATCGAACCATCCGTATGAGAACCTGCCAGCTCGACGGTTGAGACCGTGCCGATCTGCCAGCGTTAGCCCCTCGATTGGTCAAAAGGTACCGGGGCAAGGGCACGCTAAGCCTTAGCTGCATGGCGGGTTCCGGGCCGTGCATTAGTGGCCCGCGCTTTTGAGAGCCGGACAGCCGGTAGCCAATGGTTCACTGGTGAAGGATTCAGACCCACAACCCAAGGAGTAACCATTCTCTCGGGATTTGAGCTTTTCATCAGGGGTCGAAGGGCGATATGGCTGGTGAGTCTTTTTTGCAGGGTATTCAGTCTGCAGTGTTTAGTCGATGAAATTGCGGTAGCGGTTTCACTAATTTGCGTAAGGTAGGCAGCCTTGTACAGAGTACCACTCAATTAGGGCTCGTTGGCAGTTCATCGATAATCTACAATGAGGTATACTCAACATGCCTCTACTGCTACTCGTCAACGGTTGTAAACCCTTAGATAGCACTAGCGTACATGTACGGGGTTTGACAACTGCTCAAGGTCACTGTTGTGATACACAATGGCCAACGACCCAAACGGACTGTTAATGCCTATACATCCCTGTCAAGTCTTTCCAATGAGTCATGTCCTTTCAGACAAAGAAGTCATATTTGGCCATCCTTGGCATACATTCAGCACAGACGCGACCTGTCAACTCAAAATCTACCGGAGTGTCGGGTCCGACCGACGGCCGCACCCGTTACTCTACAGTCCCCTCCCGTCAGAAGCCACATCGTTGAGCTATTGGCCGTTATCAGTGCATAGGGGGATCACATTACGGACTTGCAGCTCCCATTGGTCAGAGGCGTTCTCTGCGAGACTCCTGCCTGAATAGGTTGTTGTAGACACTTCGGTTAGGATCTATCGAAGCTAGGCTCTGTGGACCATCTTGGGCCGAGCGTTTCAGTGGTAGTTCTTCGCCATAAGCCTGTTTTTTTCTCTTTCAGGGGGATCAGGGGTCTTGGTTCCTGGCCCTGCTTGTTTGCGTTAGGTGTGTCCGTCCGGACCAGGTAATTAAGATATCAATCACTTCGAGGACAGAAACCAAGTAACACCCAGGAATCTCCATTCTTTGCACAATCTTAATCAGAGTGTTCGATGTCCGGTAGGCTTGAGCCATGAATGCAGTGTTTGCAAAATTCGCACTAATTAAAGCAGGAGAACTCACAGATATCCATTGTCTTCGCATAATCGAGACGCTGCACGGGAGCGAGAATAGCCTCGATTCCGAAGAAAAGACGCTTGTCAACAAAGTGTGCCGTCTTGTTGAAGGCGAGGGATGGTTTGGCTCCGAGCGAGACCTGATCGTTGTATCTTTCATGAGGTTCCTGCGCAATCTTGGTGTGGGAGAGGAAACGCTGGAGGCCACTTGGTGCCAGTACATGAGGACAGAATTTTATACATGCTTGTGTGAGATGGATGCCGTTGATGGCAGAAGACCCGGTTCTTGAGCGATGGCTAACTTGTGCATTGACAGTCGATGCAAGGGAGAAGAAGGAGCAGGCTAGCGAACGCCTAGCAAGACAGGAATAAGCCCTTCATGACGGTGTGGTTGGAACTCGAAGAATGGGACCTCAGATGTCACAATTGGGGAAGATGGCTACTACTCGGCTTTCTGTCTATCTATTTCCTGCTAGAAGAGTATAATCAACTAGTGCCTTATAGGAACTTAACGGACAGCAACTCTCCTCGCAGCACTCTGTTCAGACACATTTCATACATCTGACTACATTGCTAAGCTGAGTATCATTACATTGCTATCTCGTACTTTTGTTCTCGTTATTCGGATCTTTATCCGTGGTGTTTCACCTTTCGTCCCAGACGACGATCTCTGAGTCATGCCCGTAGATGCCCGATTCATCCGAGGTTATCCGACAAATACATAACGGCTTCATCATCACTTCTTTCCGCCATCTAACAACATTGATAACATTATGGCTTCATCAACTCGGCATGATCGAAATGAGTCTCCACTCACTGCAGATCCGGAAAGGCTCACTTCTTCCCACCCACCGAGCATGGAAGTAGAAGAACCAGTGCATGAGGAAATCCCAACAAAACTGTAGGTCTTCTCGCCGAATTCACAGCCCCAATCTAATCTTCCAGGAAATCTACTCTAGTCGTCATAGCCGCCTTCATGAGCATCTTCACCGGCTGTGGCCTCAACTTCGCATTCGGAGTGTACCAAGAACTCTACGAATCCATGTCCCAACTCCCCAGTCGCACCCCATTCACCGGCGTCTCTCCCGCACAGATTGATCTCATCGGGACACTGGCCGTCTCCATGATGTCTCTTGGAGCGCCGTTTGCCTCAGGCTGGTGCAAATCCTATTCCCCCCGCCAGATCACCCTGGCCGGCACGATCATCTTCGCCACCGCGAACATACTTGCGTCTTTTAGCCAGCATCTATGGCAATTCATCCTTACCCAGGGAGTACTACTCGGCTGCGGGACCTGTCTCACCTATATCCCCGCCGTGACGGTCGCCCCGGGCTGGTTCACCACACACCGCGGCCTCGCAATCGGAATCATCTCCTCCGGCACCGGCGTCGGAGGCGTAGTATGGGCGCCTGCCCTGCGCGCTCTGAACGCCAGGATCGGGTTCCGCAATACCCTCCGTCTCGTCGGCGGTCTATCTTCAGTCCTGCTGGGCGCTTCCTCCCTCGTGCTAGACTGGGACCCGCGCAGCAAGCGCCAGATCCAGACAGAACGGCAGGCTTCTTCCGCGTCCCGGCTCCGAGTCACGCTCGTTGACTGGCGGGTCGCACGCACCCGGAAGTTCATCGCGCAGTGTCTCTCGGCCGGACTACAGGGTGCGGCGTACTACGCGCCGGTATACTTCATGTCGACGTATGCGCGCGCGCTGGGCTTCTCCGCCGCGACGGGGGCGATGTTCATCTCCATCTCGAATGCGTCGTCGGCTGTAGGGAAGGTGGTTATCGGCCATGTTGCGGATCGTGCCGGCCGGATTAACGTCTTCCTCTTTACGACGCTGATGAGCGCCATCGCGACGCTGGGACTGTGGTTGCCTTCCACCATGTCCGGGGGAAAGGCTCTGTTCGTCGCGTTTGCAATGTTCTATGGTGTGTTTGCTGGGGCGTACGTGAGTCTCTTCCCCGCGACGCTGGTCGAACTGTTTGGGGTTGGCCACTTTGCCAGTGTCAATGGGTTCTTGTATATGGTGCGCGGGTTTGCGGCTTTGGTGGGGACGCCGGTGGCAGGGGCGTTGATCAGGAGTGGTGGTTCGTATGTCAGCCCGGAGCTGATGAGCAAACTGTTTCTCAATACGAGCATCTTGGTGGGAGTTTTGCTGGTCGGTGCTACGGTGGGTGTCGTGTGGGTGAGAATCGAGGCGGCCGTCAGTATGATGGATCGTCAGGGTGGGTTCAAATGGAGGATTTGACCTATCGTATATTTTTCCTCTGTCTGTCAATTATACTCCCCTCTTTCAGTATGCCAATCTCTCTTTCTCCGTCTATGCATATCGATCATTCGCATGGTTTCGAGAACACCAGTGGCCGACTTAGGACTCACCTGTAGTCGGATAAGTACTTTCATGGCAAGTTTGAATCAGTCAAACATTTTCCAGGAACTCTCGTCAAATCGTATAAATCCTTGTCAATCTTCCCTGCGTGATACGCAAAGGCACTAGCATGGCCCCGAAACGATCCTGTTGGCGCGAATACGAGCTTGGGTAGATCAACCCGGCCAAGGGGCTATATAAAGCCATCACATCCCCAGAACCGAACCAACAACCCAATTCCGCTCTCGTATTGACGACACCTAACAAAATGCGCCTCTTCAACGCAACAACCCTCCAACTAACCGACTTCCTCGGCGAGGCCATCCCCCCCTACGCCATCCTCTCCCACCGCTGGCAAGCCGAAGAAGTCCTCTTCCAAGACATCCTCTCCGGCGCCGCACCAAGCAAGAAAGGCTACGGGAAGATCACGCAGTGCTGCGCACAGGCGCTGCGCGATAACCTGGCCTACATCTGGGTCGACACCTTCTGCATCGACAAAACCAGCAGCGCCGAGCTCTCCGAAGCGCTGAACTCGATGTACGAGTGGTACCAGAAGGCAGAGGTCTGCTACGCCTACCTGTGCGACGTTGCCGAGGCCTCGGGGACGGCCGGAGGAGGCTTCAGCGGCAGCGTGTGGTTCTCGCGCGGGTGGACGCTGCAGGAGCTCCTTGCGCCTGCGCGGGTGGAGTTCTTCGATGCGGAGTGGCGGGCCCTCGGCTCAAAGGCTGATTTGAAGGGTGTGATTGCGGATATCACCGGGATCCATGAGGAGGTGTTGGAAGGGACGGTCAGGCCGCAGGATCTGAGCATCGCGCAGCGCATGTCGTGGGCGTCGCAGCGGGTGACGACGAAGGTTGAGGATGTGGCGTATAGCCTGCTGGGACTGTTCGAGATTAACATGCCGATGTTGTACGGCGAGGGCAAGCGGGCGTTCGTCCGACTGCAGGAGGAGATTATGAAGCAGGCGGATGACCAGACGCTGTTTGCGTGGAAGAGTCCCGATGGTACTACCTATCGCGGGCTCCTGGCGCAGTCACCGGCGGATTTCAGAGAGAGCGGGGGGTTCGTCCAGCCAGAGCAGAGGTTCAATCGCAGTCCGTTCTCGGTGACCAATATGGGGATTAGTATCGAACTCGCTGTGGTGCACTGGACCATGGACGTCTACCTCGCGGCGCTGGACTGCGAGACGCAGAGGGGAAAGAAACGAGTTGCGATCTTCCTCGCTCCCCTGCCGCAAAACAATCAATACGCAAGGGTAATGTGCGCCGGAGACGACCTGCCGGAGTTTCCGTCAAACTTGAAGTCTGAATATCGCAAGGTCTACGTGAGACAGAGAATCTCAGGGACACCGAAGCCCCCGGACCGAATGTACGGGTTCTGGCTCCGTCAGTTTCCCCCCGTTTGGAAGGGCCCCCATTCTCGATTTGAGGTAACGGCGTACCACCCTTGGGACGAAAAGGAGCGCAAACTCTGCATTCCTCCGGGGAAACGGGGGACCGCGGGAATTATCAGGTACTCCATGCGAGAGGACTACGTTGTGAACCTTCGCGTCGGATTTGACGACTTGCTCAACCCCGTCGTCCAGTTCGGTGGCTCCCTGATGACGGACGCTCGGTGGAAAGCCCGAGATCCCGATGCCTTTGAGGTGCAGATGGCGAATGACTGGATGGACGAACGGAGGGAGTGCGTTTTCGTCGGAGACAGGAATTACGGACTCAACTTGAACGACGGAACAATCAGGATACTGGTCCTGGAGGAGGTCGTCAAGGGACAGCGGATGTGGGTTGTCTATATTGCGAAGCCGGAACATGGAGCCTGGCACAAGGACTGTGTCTGCGACGGATGCCAGCTTACAGTGTTTGGGACGCGATATCGATGCAAGTCGTGTCCTGGATTTGACTACTGTTCCGATTGCATCCAGAACGCAAGGGACACGCATCCGGATCACGACTTTGAAGAGGACAACCCTGTTTGGCATGCTGCAGTGTACTGTGACTGGTGTGGTGAGGTGAGTGTCCATTGCCTTATTTCCTATTGTGCTTCGAGCTGACTTCACAGGGCATATATGGCATTCGGTACAAATGCCAAGACTGTGCAGACTTTGATCTCTGCTGTTACTGTATGAAAGAATCGGAGAAGATCCATCCCGGACATCGATTCTTTGAGTTTGAACGTCCTGGAGATCAAGCTCGAGAAATTGCATCAATCCGAGTACAGGAAACAGTATCAGTCAGTCAGCTTCAGGCCCTTACAAACGACTCCGGTGCATATAGCCGGTCAGCTTCTAGGAGAGCCTCGCAATGAGCGAGCTCTCAGGCGTATCTACATTCTGAGCTTGCTGCGACGAAGAGTGCGAGAGACAACATGATATTGCATATGATGAGATTAGACGGATACAGGACAGGTGTGTGATGGGATGATCGATAGTAATAGGCGAGAAAAGGTAGAAGCAGGGCCACCTGAATTTATGAGCTTGAATGCTCCAGGCGATCACTCTGCATCCTTGGTGACATATGGACTATTGTTCTCGTGGTTGACTTAATTGGGCCACCATCTCTTCAGACCATCTATAAAATCCATAATGCATGACTGAATCGAAGCAATTATTATCAGCTGATCCCTAGCATAAGCAAAGGCGGATTGGAAATTCCCGTCTAGCATGAGCCTCAAACATCCACGTCTTACAGACTCAGCGCGGCATCAAACAAAGCATTCAGTCATCCGCAACCTCAGTCTCACTCCAAGGACATTCGACATCCTCTCCCCACAAATCTCTGTATAGATGGCGGGCCATACACCAATCATGATCCCAATCACCATCCGAGCTGTCAACAACTGTCAGCATGCTCCACCCAAGATACCATATGTTCTGCAAGATACTCACCTCAAGCTGACACAGTTCGGAGCCAGCACAGCTGCCCTGAGCAGGATACACGCAACCACCTCATCGTATGGCTTATGAGCCGTCTTGACAAATGAAAACCCCGCGTTACCGTGCCGGTCCAAGCACAGAGGTTCGTGTCCGTCGTCTCCGACTCCGTTGAGGAAGATTCCCTGGTTTACATCGATGATTGGCGGACCGGGTTCGTCGAAGTCGGGACCGCTGAGAGGGACATTGGAGTTGTCGACGATCTTTTGAGCATCCTCGATGAGCTGGGGCCAGGCGGCTCCCCACTCGGGGCTGGAGGTGTTGTCGACCGAGTAGTAGTGAGTGTAACTGGTATTCGTTAGTAGATGGGATTGATGATCGTTTGGTCAACGTACCCCATCTTGGACGTATCTTGCTTGCGATATTCTTGGTAGTTAGGGATGGAAAAGATGAAAATGAAGATGGGTTGGAAGTGTGAGTGTTGAATGACTGAACGCTGATCCTGACATTGCTGCAGGTGCCTGTTTCTGACTCAGGCATACATAAGGAAGGAGTGTCCTTCACTGCACCTGCACATTATATCGATATTCACCTCTCATCATCATGGAAATGAAGACAAGAACATGAGAACGCCTTTGTATAACCTGAAAATCAAGTTATTCTACAATGCGCAATTGCAACGTCCAGTCAAGGATGCGCTTCATAGGACTTAACTGGGGGGATGACTGTCCTCAGCTTTTCTCCCTGAGATTTCTATCAGACGAGCTTACAATCAAGTAGAATCTCACAGTATGATATCCAAAGCCGGTAACGCTTCGAGGAAAATCTACTAAGAATTGATCGCGGCCTCGATACATTAGGGCAACGGGAGAACATTTCGACGAGTTGGCTTTCCACTCGTAGCCATATGATCTGGACGTTTCCTCGGCTTCTTATAGCAGCTAGAGTTCTTATCTAAACTGTCCATATTATAATTAATGGGATAGACTATGTGGTTTCTACGTTCCATCTGCAGAATACCTTGTCAAATGCTTGCAACTCTTATTAAAGATATATAGTCTGATCTGGTTGACTATCCCAGTAGGAGAGTCTGTAAATCACGCTAGGTCGTGCCACATAGTGCTGCATTACACAAAATTGTGCCGCTTCTTCCATTAGTTGCATCGGATATCGCTTACCAATGAGCTTATTAGATACCACACTGACAGCCCCTAGGAGAATGGGGTACGAGGCCTTCCCAGTCAACAGAACTCCTACACTCCTAGATTGGCGGACATTTGACTGCGTGTGCCTTCCTTCTAAAGCATATGAAGAATTGTAGCCTCGATTATGATGCATCCAATCAATTCCCGCATCTCTCATCGGCAAGCAGCGTCTCAATGGAAGCCTTCCCGACAACTTAGAGTCCAAAGATAGAGGCTCTACCGCATCAATTCACCTATAAAGAGGCCCTGGGACCCCTGATCATCTCTCACCTTTGACATTCTGTATCCAGCTACAACGAAACCATTGCTACTTGCTTCCTGTCTTGCGTCCACTCCATCGCAGCCACCAACGCACTGCCTAGCGAACCTTATTACATGTTTCCTCGATGACCTTCATCGCCCTTTCACTGCCTGGATCTTTGCAGAGATAATAATAATCCAGCCAGAATTCACGAGCGGCACTATGATCGGGCATATATTTTCTCAACAAAGACTTCCACTCTCTGTCCTCCTCACTATCAGGGACTGAGGTACAAACATACTCCCACCATACCGGGAAGTATCCAGACATCTCCCAGTCAATTATACCGGTGACAGATCCATTCTCAACCATGATATTAACATTAGTGAGGTCGCCATGGGTAAATGTATAAGGCGCAGCGGACGGCATGCAATTTCGAAGTCGTATTCGCACAGCCTCAGGTATGGTTTCCCCCAGTCCACGCTCCATGTCAGCCCAAAGCTCATCATCAGAAGCTAGAGGTCCGTGAGGTACCTCTGACCGTTTATCTTTGAACAGAAAGTTGGAATAAACGGGACGGCCACCCAGTGCTTGAATATTATCAGACTGTAGCTTGCGAAGTTCCAGCAGATACTCGGCTGTCTGTTTAGCTATGCTTTCTTTTTCATCGGCAGAAGGTTCGGCCAAACTCTGCTGAGAGGCTCTCCAGGAATACGTTTCATAAGGATGAGAGTGTGTTGGCCTTCCTCCCAGGATTCGACCACAGTGGGAACAGGGATAGATGTCTGTTCCTGTACAAACAGAATGTTTGGCACTTCAAACGTTGGAAGGCTAGCTCCTCGGTCTTTGAGAATCAAATTTGAGCCCAACGACCAGACACCACGATCGCCTGCTTCATAAAACAGTTTGACGTAGCTTTCGTAGTTGCAATGCTTTTGGCGTTCATGGGTCCAGCTACACGCTGAGCAAAAGGATGAGGAGGCCATATCGAATAGATGATTAAAGTATCAATCGAAGGTTGAGCATCGAGATATGAAGCATCAGGGTGACCCTCGGGGTGAATGTGTATTTATGATCGGTCGACTCTCCACCGCCTTGACTCGTACATGCTAATGAGCTGGTCCGAATATCATGTGACGATGAAAATAAAACTTACCTGCATCATCTCGGCTTTTAGGATTTTGTTTCAGACAAAACTCCGGATTTAGTATCCTATAGTCAGGTGAAATGGTTTAACTTTCGAGGCATATACTTCCTTTCGCTTGCCATCTGGCATGTTTGAAACACCACCATATAGAACACCACCTAAGCGACATTTCGACTTTCTGAATGGACTCGAGAGTCAGATGGTGGAAAGTATGAGATGTACTTCGTATTCAAGCAAGCCTGAGATACTGACTCTCATATGGGATGCCCAGTATGTCATCGGCTGGATGGAGATGAGCTCATGATTCCTTGACCATCGCCCAGGCTCCCTCGGGCCTGCTGTTCTTTCCAGAAACATATAAAGAGTCAACATGTCCTCGAGACATCCACCTCCCCATTAAAGCATTCTCATCTGAACATCAATATCACTACATCTTCAGAACACAAGCTACTCATCATGCAGCTCCTCATATACATCACCCCCCTCCTCTCCCTCTTCCCTCTCATCAACGCGCTGCCTGGTCCCACCAGCTGCACAACCATCACTCCAGACATCGCCCGCGTCTCCGAAGCCCAGCCGGTCACCTCATACCTCCCCGGCTTCCGCATCTCCCAGAAAGATGGCGGCACCAACAAAGAGGACATGTTCGTCGAATTCAACGTCACCTCCGGAAGCTGGGGCTGCACGCTCTCCTACTCCTTCCCCGCCGGCACCCCTCTCACGACTTCTGGAGCCGCCCCCGTCGAAATCTCCGCGGTGAATGGCCCGCTGAGCCGATCTCCTCGCGGCATCGACGTGTCCTGGGCGTATTGCCCGGCACCGGTGGCGTTGGTTGGGAGTACGACCTTCCAGGCGGATCCGAACCAGGCGACGACGAGGTTCATTAACAGTTTCTCGTGCTCGAATAAGATGACGTACCGGTTGAGTATTGCGAGTTGGTATAAGCAGGCGACCAGTGTTGAGTTTGCGCAAGGACCTGGGGTTGGATTACGGATGAGCTATAATTGTTAGCTTCGTATTCAGAGTGGCACTGGGAAGTATGGCAGTTGTATAGTGGAGAGGTCATGAGGTTTTTTTTCGGGGAGATATGTCATTCCTTCAATGAGTTAGTATACTTATGAACGGCACCTAATAGTGAAATGCGCTCAATTTGCAATCTCAAAGATGTGTGGAACTCGCTCGTATGCTTCTCGTAAATGTAAACCCTTGGGAGGACCCATTGTACATGTATCAAGTTATGTGTCTAATGGAGAGGCATCTACCTCCATAGATCTTGGATATTCTATAGACAACATTGTCCGATACAGTGTCGCCCGGCACGATCATTGGCTTCACCAGCTGAATATAGTAACTAAGTGTCCAAAGTCCAGATAACCTGACCTCTTCCCTCAGCCTGCCCACAGCCTGATTATCACTTTCTCTCCGTTGCACTTCTGACTATGACAAAAGAGCGCCGCGCTCATTTGTCACTGTGCTTCCTTATCCCTTCGGAAGCATTTCATTTTAGATATCCGCCAGTTGTCAGCTGGCAGGCGATATTGACCCATAACCCGGATACACATCACAATGGACAGTCTTGCATGGAATCATGAAGGCCTCGGACTACTGAGAGGCTGAAGATTTGCATGGCAACAAATCGCATCATAGACGAAGAAAATAGGATCAGAACATCCCACTACTGTCATCGGTATGTCTTATTGTCACGCCCAGGCAGAATGGCACTTCATCATGGAAAACAAGGACTTCCATAGCATCCACCGCTTCCGACGAAAGAGACGGATAAAAGATTGAGGTCGGTGATAGAATGCCTGGGAGCTAATTGTGCCAGACTCGCCGGGTTTGTTCCTCCAATTCTTCGACTCTGTAGTTTGACACATCGCACGTTTGCTGGGGGTTAGCTTCCCTTGACTCAGCATAGTCCTCTGCACTCAGCTTCTCGGACAATCCTCCTTCTTATCCCGCAAATATTTCCAACAAGCGTTACAAAGCCAATTTCCATGCTTGCTAGGATTTGGATGAGGTATCCAGTCTCTATCCGATTTAGTCTTACTTTGTCTCCAGTGCTCTTCGGTCTATTCGTATTGGTTTGGTGCGGTTGAAGCGAGATTCGGGCTTACCCTCTCCATGGGGTCTCGATCACCCTCTGGCCAGTGTAGTGCCTCCCGAACCCACCGAAACATTAGTGCAATTCAAACAGAGAGTTTGTGCCAACGAAGCCGGCGCGAGACGCGTGTTGAGCGTCGGCCAGCTACGCTACAGCAGGACCAGGCAACCCCTACCCAAAACGCACCAGTCCTTGATGTTGCCACGGCGGTGGTGTCGGGGGTGGTGGGGCCATCTTCGCCTTCATCCACTTGACGTCTCGCGAAGTTGTGAGGCGGGTTTCCTTCAATTCATTGGGCAGGTGGCTTGTCTGCGTGCCTCGGTGGTCCGCCACCAGTAGTCGGAGAAACCGCGGTCAGTAGTATCCCGAGCAGGGAGGAAGCATCCCCGTTGCGCGGTGCGTGGGTGCCGATAGCAGAACATCGCAGGCGCAGCAGGGCGAGCAGCAGGAGGTCCGACGACAACAGAAAGGGCACCGCCCTGCTGGTCGTGGTGCTCGTGCGGCTCGCCGCGCTGGTCCACACTCTTCGCAATTGCTGCGGCCATGGTATCGGCCTCATCATCGGCGTTATGGTAGTAGTCATCCAGCGTCACACTAAACGAGAGATGGGAGAGGAGGCGCATAACGCGCCAGTCGAGGTGCCCCTGTGAGTCTTACCTTGCGCTGCTTGACTCGGCCACGCTTGACTCCGCGAGTAAACAACAAACCAAAGCACCTTGCTTGGGTGGAATTGATTCATAGACGAGCTTTGTGAATTCTTTGATTCTGGGGATCTTGCGAAAGATTTCATTGAAGATCCCTTGGGCAGAGAGTGGTAGAAGAAAATGTCAACTCAGGGACTCTCAAACCAGGCAAAATTATGCCATTCAAATGCACCGTGCTAGGGAGAAAAGGAAGGTCCAATGGCCATACACCTTGATGGTTCAGGTGGTGATTCACATCCTTGTATAAGCCGTGCTCGCCATCCGTGAATCCCATAATCTTCTCGTCAGGGATGCTTTTAATGAACTCTTCTAGGGAGACCCTCTCCCTCCCAGGACTGACACATATCCCAGCAATTGCTCTTCTCGTGACGTCGTCAAACTGTCGTTTCTTTCCGTTATCGAGTGGTTCTGATTGCACTGTCGGTCAGGGTGTGGCAATTGTTGTTTCGGGCGGGCTATGAAAGTGGTTAATACTGCTAGATTCTCTATGGTCATGATGACTTACTCATGTACCCTAAGCACTGGGCCATGCCATTGGGCTTCTGTATTATTTTGCCTCGCATGATAACAGATTCTGAATCGCAGATATCTGCAGAGCCAAAGAGATAAGAACCAGAACAAGTTGACAGACGACTCAAGGGCACGGCTGACAGGGGAGCAGAAAGTCGAAAAATGCGTTGCAGATAGGAGATTGTGCGCAGTCTTCTCAATTTTCTCCATACTAGGGTCACATTGATCTCGCCAGCTGCCCCAGTTGCCAAGTCCACATAAGGTCTTTAGGCTTTTCACTAGTCATCATCCAGATCTGAGATGGTGTTGGCCCATGGAGATGAGAAAAGAGGTAATGAAATAGATAAAAGTCTAAGAACCAACCGTCCTCCATTAGACTAGCTTGGTCTTTGTCATTGGTGAAGCCACAAACTGCGATAAGGCGGGTTCTTCCACCATGAAAAGCTCTGCCTTCGCTCCAAACGAGTAGAGTGAGTGGAGAATGAGGATGTGTGGCCAAAAGGAGGTCCTGCCTGGGGACGCCACCTGAGAAAGGGGCTTTATTGCCCTATGCACGTACCACAAGTACGCTGTTGTCTATAGAGTCTCATTTTCGGGTTGTTAAGGATTTCCCGTTTTAGACGGGAGGACGCAGTCATATTGCGCTACTTTGCATCGACTTCACTTAGTGGATGACTGCATGGTTGCCTGCCAGATTCCACGCCAAGGGGTATACTGAGCACAATCGTGAAGCTCATCCGCCTGCAAGATAGGCTTCGTTCTCAGGCTTACCCTGCTTCGCCACAACAGTATCGTCTGTTCAGCAGCCAGACACATGAGCTCAGTCTTCAGAGCTTATTGTGTTGCTGATTCCATCAAGCTTCAGTATGCAAGAAGACTTCTTTGCTCCTATTGCAGCTTGCAAGCATTGTAAATAATTCTATCATGCCTTTCCAGAAGGTCTGCCGCAAGAGGATTATACCACGGAAAGAGGCAGCTCTATCTGGTTAAATAGACTGTCAAGACAAGGATAGAGGAGAGGGAAGAGTGTTGAAGAAGGTGGAAGGGAGAAGAAGGGAGATGGAGGAGATTATGTTGCTGAAACACGTGAATGACACAAAGACAACAGTATTCACTCAGCCATTCCTTGTTCTGTGAAGGGACCCATTATAAATGATGAGGCTGAGACAATCAAAGCCAGATCGTGAATAGGAAAAAGTGACTGAGGTGAATACGCCAATCAGCGGGCAGGACTAGGGTCTCTAATACAATGTTTCCATTTTGGGAAAATGTGGCGCTATTCCCGATCGCTTACAACTTCCGTCCAATAAAGGACAAAGCCATTTCTAACACGAGATGATTGCCAAGCTTAACAAATTAAGCAGTGTTAAGGGTTTGCGGCTCAAGAGTAATACTTAATGTCAGCATGAATACGACCGACCTCAGCTCCGGAGGAGAATCGCAACATGTGTCTTCAAGACAGTGCCCTCCCATTATGGCACATATCCATCAGCGTGCTCTTCCAACCAGCCGGCCATATCTCATTCGTTGAAGACTTGAAAGCCAACACCACATTCCTATCTCCCATTACAGGCGCGCTCTGGTCTGCTCGCACTGTATTCGGAGTTATTGGTTGCAGGGTATCCAACTTTGCGAATGTTCCCGGAGCTCTATGGCTCGCCTCAGAGAAGGAGTTTCAGGATCATGATGGACCCTACGTGATGACTAGGCTCGGCAGAGGGCCACGGAATATCTATGTGACTGCTCGATGGATGTTTTTCGTCCTCGTCACGTTCGCTCTTTACCTCAGTCTTGTCTACTTTGTCCAAGTCTGGTGGGCGACAACATGGGCGACCTGCCTGATAATCAAGTTTTTCCTGCTGGAAATCCTGACAAGATACTACGACCCACCGCGAACAAGGATCGTTGTACACACAGCCTGGCCCGAAGTACCGCTCATCACTCTAGCCACCACTTCTCGAGTCCCCCCTGCTTCGCCCTCCGACAAATGCGACCAGAACCAGGTCCAAGAGAGGGAAGATGTCCCGGGGCAACGCATAGACCCCAAAGACGCCCAGGACCTTCTCCCCCTCTGCAGACGCATCGAGAAATTCTGCTCAGTCATGACCGAAAGCCCAGACAAAGCGGAACGAAGCCGCATGACCCCAGCCAAAACCTTCTACCTTCGCAAGGCGCTAAACCACGAATCGCTTGATTTCCGACTCGACTGCGCGCACACGCGTTGTTTCCTGTTTAAACTGTTCCATATACTAGCCCACGCCCTGCCCTATCTGTCATTGACCCTCGAGGCTCTGGCCGTCCTTTACCTGGGCCATCAGAACCTACGCACCATCACCATCCTCGTCACAGGGTGGATTATGAAACCTCGCTGGGTGATGTTCATCGTCTCCCTGGCGACCAGGGTCTTTGTGGTCCTCCTCCTCCCGGTCCTTCTTGGTTCAGTGATCCTTGCCTATCGGCGCATGCGCATCCCGGCCGCAGAGGTGACGTTTGGACGCCGCGTCTTGGAGGTTATATGTTTGACGATCCTGGCGATTGCTTGCGTGCTGTACTTCCTCGCGTTTGGGTATCCGCCCGTTTCTCCTATCGCTCTTGCGTGGGTGGGGGAGGCATTCGCTGCTCCAATAGTGCTGATGGCGGGGTTCGGAATCTCTCGACGGATCGTACGAGGACCGCGGCAGCGGGGGGATGAGCCCTGGTCGACCGGTGAGGATTGGAGGAAGATCACGGATGAGGAGAGGGTTGTGGATGACCCGCCGCTGTCGGAGTATCTGGTTATGTTTGCTTGGACTGTGGTGTTTATGATTCCTGCGGTCGTTGTGTGGGTTGTGATGAAGACAGCTTTTTGTGCTGCGATAGCCGCGCAGGAAGCGGATATCCAGAGGAGGTTTGAGGAGTATTATGAGCATCCGGGATTTTAGTATATCTGATTGCGATTGTCTTTTGTTTGAGGCTGATGGAAAGATGCATATCACCAGAATTCAAGCTATAGTTTCAACATGAGCATCAGACATCTCAGCGGCTTGTTCTTGCCCATCTTCTCCTCCACTCTGTCCAGCGTCTCAAGCATTGAGGTGAACAGCTTCTCTAACACCTCCAATGTGTACGTCAGACTCCCGCACTCCTTCATCTCGGCCAGAATACGTAGCTTGTCGGCATGCGAGATGTGCGCTTCCTCGCCCTCTCCGTAGATGATTTTGAAAAGCTCGTCTGCCTTCGGACTATGCTGGAGCAAGTGGATGACCGGAAACGAGAACTTGCCCTCTTCAAGATCATCGCAGAAGCCTTTCTTTGCGGTGTACTTTTTCAAGTTAGTCTTGGCGGATAAGTTGAGTTGGGAAACCCACCTCATCAGACGCGAGATTCTGATAATCGTCGCGGATTTGATAGTATCTCCCTATTAGGGAGATCAGATGTTCCATGTCGGGGTCAACTTCAGTGCTTGATAGAGAGCTCAGAGTACGTAGTATCAGCCGAAAAAAGCCTCCGGTCTTATGGTCGACCATTATGAAGTACTCATTGAGAGTCGGGCGAGTCTTTTCGAACGTCCAGTTAAGATCCAGCGCCTGGCCGCGAGCAAGTGTTTTGATTTCTTCTACAAAACCATATTAGTACCGAGTCGACCGCGGCATAGAGAAATTCACCTAGTATCACCTTCAAACAATCAGGGCCAAGATGCTCAAGAGTATAGCCGACGACCTCTGCATGCAAAAACGTGGCGGTGTTGACCGTCTGTCCGAGACCGAATTTGAGATGTGCAGCGGGTCTGCCACGGCGAAGAGTTGAACCGTCCTCGATGTCGTCGAGTCTGCATCATTAGCCAGTTGCCTAGTCTAGTCGGGTTGACATACAGCAGTGTTGAGTTGAAAAGCATGACCGTGAACCTTTCAATGACTGAAACGATATCATCCGGTACGCTGAACCACGCTCGTAGGCAATTGATGAATTTGGTCAAGGTGTTTTTGCCAGGGAGAGATCTTATATAGTGGAACGGGGCCATACAGATCTGAAATATTAGCGATTGATAGCAGACGAGGTGAAAAACTAACCTGATCGGCATCGGCAACCTGAAAAGGTGCGCAAACATCGTTTCCCAACACAGTGTCGTTTGCTGCTTTGGGTCCTGAACATTCCGATTCATGAGAAACCCCATTCACTGTCTTTTCCTGATTCTCATCGAGTGTTGCCGGAGGCGGATATCCTTCTAGTTTAAGGACCGGTTCCCGTCGAGGCTGAAGCAGCCGAGCTCGATCCTCGGCAGTGGTCGTAATCCCATCACCACCATACCTGGGAGTTTGAGCCTGCCAGTAATTCCCCCCGCCTATTGATAGAATGAAGAAAATGAGATAGGAGCAAAGATCATCCGACTTGGGTACCGACGACTTCTCCCATTCTCTGTATTGCTCCATCAGGTTCTTTTCCGCGGTAAGTACCTCTCGCTTCAGGATATCTCCTGCTTCAAGCTCGGTATACCCATACTCAGTCATCAGCAGTGCCATTGCATTGTGGATCGCATCAAGAGTTCCAGAACAAAAATGGTCGTCAAACTCTCGGTGAAAGCTGTAGTAGTCGTTTGACAGGGATACGCTCAAAACACCATAACCGACCATTTCCGACACGGTCCGCCTTTCATCTTCTGTCAGCCGCAGGCCCTGCATGTAAGTAGCGAGCTCGTAGACTTGTCTAATCCAGATCAGCATCAAGAAAAATCCGTAAGTTAGAAGCATCAGCTCACTTGGCCGTCGAACTCTCCATCCGAGCTTTCTTGTACTCTTCAAACGACATCCCAGACTGGCTGCCTGTCGACTGCGCGGTAATCACATCTACCAACGTTTTGAAGAACAGCGACCTTACATCTGGCGTGAAGTCTGGTAAATTCCCCAGGTACAAGACAAATCGTTTGTTTATGTCGTACTCAAACACTGGCGGTTGATCAAGTTTCCACATCGACAGGACGCCCAGCGTGAAGTCAGTGAGGGCATCTCTTTTCTACTCATCATCAGTACCGGCCGGTTGGAAAGGAACAGAATCTTACGCTTTGGTTATCAAGCGTATCGATATCATCTATCAGTCATGAGAAGATGGTAACTCAATAAAAGGAGGCTTGACTACCATCATAATGCAATAGCAGTTCGCACATCTCAGTCATCAGCGGTATCAACGCGGGTGGCCATTCGGGCGCAACCCACGAGACCATATGACCAGTTGAAGCGATACATCCTCGAGGGAGAAGAGACTCTGGACTCTTGGATAAGTGTTCAGCAACTCTTTCAATTACGGCAAGCGATGTAGACGTGGCATTTTTATGGAATCGCGATTTGCGGAAGGGTAGGCTATTGAAGAACAACGGAGGAGAAGGTTCGTTTGGATCTGGAGGATCTGAGTAGAGATAGCTATATGAACGATTAGAAAAGTCGGACATGCTGACTAGGAGTATCAGCGATGCTTAGAAAGTAGATTCGTTTCCAGACAGACGGGGGATTGGGGTTCTTATTTGAGTCAATCCGACCTGAAAAAGCAATTCCTGTCCCCATCCTGGCGGTTAACGATTCGCTGCTCCGACACGTCCTGCAGGATATGCATGTTCCTTCACGTCAGCCCATTGAGAAGGGGTGATTATTCATGGCTTACGTGCGGCCTTCAAGGGATCTAGATGCAGATCAGTCTAAAGGAGAAGTCAATTCTGTCTACCCAAGATTGAATACTTGGACGGATGACTGCAAATACTGATCCTCAGGCACTCAGGCAACTGATTATTGTAAGGCATGATTAAGTTTGTCCGTAACCATAGAAATGCTAGAGTCCCTCTTTTTTCACTGTGACACTTATACTCCCAGTGAATAGAAAGCTTTTATTCAAGACTGTTCCAAGCTACGGTCAGCAAGTGACGCTTTTGCAAACGACGGGATGGAAGCGAGCGTAGTACATGGGGAGCGAGATGGTTGGGGATACAGCAGTCACGAAGACACTTAAGTTGTCTGGGCACGAGTAGGAAGCTGCTAAAATATTATAGCGCTATGGCTATGGACATTCAACACTAGACTAAGGAGTACATCGTCCGGACAGCTTTTTAGTCTAGCGGTATTGTACATTGATAGAAGCTCTCGGGTTCGCTCCCAGACAGTAGGGATTTACAGCAATTGTGGTTCAAGCTGGCTTCAATCAATCAACTTGGCCTTTACAATGATGTTCAGAGAACTTTTGCTACTTAGATTGTGTACATGATATGAGGCTCGATTTGACTAGCCGTGCTCAATAGTGGTCAGAATCCAAAATTATATATTGCAATTCCTCCTGTCAGCAGAGGTTTCTCGTCCCCGATTATCGTCTCCCCGAAATCGATACATTATACGATCAGTCTCTGTGCTTGATTCCAGTTTGACAGTTAATATGCCCTATAAAGAGCCTACCGTCATCACGCTAGAGCCTTCCCAGTAACGTGCTGCCACTATATATTGGCGAGAGCGTCCGAAGAAAGAGCAAGATGAGATTTAATAAGTAGATACTAAAGCATGTCCCTGATTCATCGGTTGGAACAGCAGAGCCAATATGATTCTGCTGTATATTGAAGAATCCCTAGTATCGGATGCACTTGAGCGACTGTTGTCCTCTAGATGAGGTCGGTCGGATAGGAATTTCCTTTTCAGGTAAGTGGTGTCGGAGTAAGCTCGGATTGAGTCACGTGCAATCCAATTCATGGCGCACGGAGTACTCCGATCTTCATGAGAAAAGCAAGTAATTCCTCTTACTTTCAAGATACCCATATCTAAACTCGTCGATTTGATGTATCGACGGAATGGAAAACCCACGTCGTGTGAGCCCTGTCGGATATCGAAAGTCCGCTGCGACCATGCAACACCGGTCTGCGGACGATGTCGAGCTCGTGACATTTCAGAAAAGGTAAAATACCCTCTTGATTCTGAAAGTCGAACTCATGCTCTATAGTGCTTCTATCATCCAGCTCCGATGACTCGTCCGAAAACGAGATATCGGTACTACCGCGTCGGAAAGGATGCTGGCCGGCCTTCGAGGAGCGCATCGCCTGAACAACAAGCAAGAAATCGAATAACTGTAGGAGAGCAAAGACCGAGCCTCGAGGAAGAGGGTACAAGTCCTGATCTGAGTCCGTCGGGATATGTTGGCTCTTCTAGCATTCTCTCTATATGTCCGAGATTCTCGCCTGTCATCTCTCGAAAGCCAATACGTCCTCTGGACAAGGACTCTTCGCAATTCGAGTTCGTGAAGCAACTATTCATGAAATTGTTGGCTTCTTCGGAATGTGTAGAGCAACTCATTCTTCAATACTATGATAGCAGCCGTTTTACCGTCATTCCGCGACCTTTGATTCTTGACCCCATCACCAAATTTCTTCGAGAGTTAGGTGCAAGTGAGGATGAGGGAGCGTTTTTGGATAATCAGCTTGCAAATGCCAGACGAAATTTACACAAGAGATTTCCCTCCCTCTCCGCTCATACAACAGCGACCGACTTCCTTGGATATTTCAATGGGGACAGTTTTCGACTGGAGTTTGTTGGCCTAATATTTGCTCTCGCAGGAGTCTCCTTTTTCTATACAGAAGTGGGAGATGTGTTCGACCAGCAAAACTTTGCTGCAGAAATGTACACTGCCAGCAAGGTCTGCGTGGGAATCTGCGAGGAATACAATCAGGTGAATGATCTTACTGTTTGGTCGCGGTATATGAACTTTATCTTAGCATCGAATCTTTTTGGAGATGCAAGTATGCTCCTTACTCTCTCGCCTTCCAGGTTTGAAAGTGCTCACAGCTTTCACAGGTAATATTTTATACCACCGAGCCAATGAGTTTATTGCTGAATTATTCGTCATGGGCTTCCATCGACTCGTATCCTCACCACCCAATGTCCCCTTCTTCATCCTTGAAACTCGGAAGAGAATCTTTGCATCAGCCGTGACTCGGGACAAAAGCCTTTCCACTTTTCTTGGAAGAGCCCCGCGGATAGATTGCGATTTCTGCGACTTGACCGTCCCGTCCGATCTGGACGATGATGACGTCCTGCTTGAGGGTAGCCGACTTGATGCAGCTTTACAAGACCTTGATCGGGATGGATGGAAGCGTCCTACTGGGACGAATGAGCCCTTCCGGCCGGCCAGTTTGATTCGGCTTCGGTACCAACAAGCTCACCTTCGTGAGAAGGTTCTACGTCTGTCATTGGGGAATAAGACCAAGTCTTACTCGGAGACTCTCTCGTATGTCATGTCCACCAATTCGTCATGCCTTGCCTAATCGATATGCAGGGGTTTGTACGAAGAGTATCACAACGCCTTGGCAAGGGTCCCATCTCAATACCGTTACAGGGGAAGCGCCTGGGGAACGTCGAACCCGCGATTATGCGTGGCACGTTTGATCGTTCATCTAGACTATCTTTACAGCGGCTTTTTGATAGAACGAATGCTCACCCAAGATGGTCAAATGACTATGCCTTGCCTCCTGGCGACATCAGCGAAGCTGCTTTCGGGTGTACTTGAGTTCGTCCAGCAGCAACACTGCTATCCTGAATTACGCGAGCGATTTACGTGGATGGTGTGTTCACTTCCGTGTATGTTTGCTACAAAGCTAACCCAAGTCCTAGTTCCTTTTCTATGGCCTTCCAGGTGCCGGGACCCTCGCCACCGAGCTCCACCATAGCACTCTTCGCGGAGTTCCCTTACAAACCTCTATTCCTTGCGCCAACATCATCCGCGACTTGAGTGTATTACTGGCATGGTTTGAGCGCAAAAGTTTTCCCGATCGGCCTGACTTTCAAGTCTGCGTTCAGATTAGCAAAGTCATTGGTGCTCTTTTGGATGATACACTGAACAGGGGGCTACCGTCGTCTCAGATGGCTATTCAACCGGAAAGGCAGCAGCTAAATCAGCATTCGCCGGGTTTATCCCGTCCACATGCAGCCGATCCTGTGGTAGATGCAACCCATAATGCCCTTGAGATGGTTCAGCCGCTCCCCGACGCAATGACTAGTCAAGACTTTCTTAGCTGGTTTGACGATCTGGTGTGGGACGATCCCTCCATGAGTTTTGACTCCATCGGTGCATAAGCGTTCAGTGAGCATTTTTGAATTTATCTTGAACAATGATGCCTCGGAACGGCTCTATAATCATTTAGGGCTTGGTAACGGTTACCCTAAATAGTTCAGGCGGAGTCACTGGCTCAATAGCAACATAGGACAGTTCACCAGACAACGCTTGTATGCGGACACATAATCAGGTTTGATCTATCCCTGGAGCAAGTGATGACTCTCGGAATACGAGGTCACCTGATAACAGACATATAAGTCGTCCCGGTTGTCCAACCCCTCTTCTCAAAAAGCCCCCTTCGCAAGTGACTTTAACCAAAATGTCGACTGTAACCAAGATTCTAACAGCACAATGTCACTGCAAATCAGTGCACTTCACTATTAGCATCCCTGTAACGTCCCTTCCCCTACCAGTTCACCTCTGCCACTGCAACATCTGCCGGCACTCACGTGGAACCCTCTGCGTCTTCCATGCCCCGCTTCCATCCGGCGTAAGACCAGAGTTCATCGCGCCATCGAGCATGGCAAATATAACTACATATATCCGGCCCGGCTCGCGAGCAATGAGATACTTTTGCAGTACATGTGGCTGCCAAATTGGCGGTGAGGATGGTGGATGGGTGATCTCAACATCTATCTTCGACGCCAACCGCGATGATACGGGGATCTGGGATATCAAAAAACATATATATACCGAGTCTACGCTGGATGGCGGGTTAGCGGAGTGGTTACCACGAACTGGGAAGAAGGAGATGGCAGTATGGAATCCACCAGACGACGCAATCGATCATCGACCAGGTGAAGTTGATGGAAAACTACTCGCGCAATGCGACTGCGGAGGTGTATCATTCCAATTCTCCCGCCCGACACAAGAAATCCTCGATGACCCAGAGATAAGACGCAAGTGGGTATCCCCCGTCGATAAGTCGAAATGGATCGCCTGTCTAGATGCCTGCGATACGTGCCGACTTACAGACGGGGCTCATGTGATTGCCTGGACGTTTATTCCGAAGAGACTCATCACGCCGGCGATTCCGGATGATCTCCTCATCGGTCCGTCCAAAGCCTACGTCTCCAGCAGAGGAGTGCGGAGAACATTTTGCGGTACTTGCGGTGCGACCGTCTTTTACGACTGCGATGGACGGGAGGACATTGTGGACGTGGCGGTAGGACTTCTCCGGGCGCCCGAAGGTGTCAAAGCGGAGAATTGGCTGACGTGGAGGACGAAGCGAATGGCCTTTTCGGAGGATGGTATGCGCTATGATCCTGTGTTGACTGAGTCGCTTCGTCGAGGATTCGAGGAGTGGGGGAAGCGTAAGCATGGAGGCTTACTTGACATTATCATGGGATAGGACTTTGAGACCGCAGAAGTAGGTATCAAGACGTACAAAACATATAGCCTTTGTTGCATATTGTTGAGCAAAGGAGAAATAGAAGAATACTAGATCCCCTTATTGCAAATCAGTGCTTTTGGCCAGACAAGAGCCTGGGCGGGACTATAGATTACCGGGTCTAATAGTTGATGGACTGTCCTTGATGAGAAGGAGCTCTCTTAGTATGTCCCTTGTCATTACAGAACCTTAGGCAGTCAGTTCAGAGAACGTTTGGTTTACACTCAACGGAAGGCACGATGTGGCCCTGATGCCTCCTTCCTAAAATGGACATAGTTGTAAGCATTTCAGGGAGGGGGATGATATAGCGACACCCCCGGCGCCTTACCGACACCCCGTAGGTTCCAGCGACACCCCTCTTACCCGATCGGGTAAGGTTTGGTCATGTGATCACTGCAAATTTGGATTCTACCGCGCATGTGATCTGTGTTTTAGGCTAAGCTTTGGTCATGTGATCACTGCGAATTAGGAAGCGAACTCAATGGAGGATGAAAACAATTCAATTTACTATGTAAATTTGATGATAGGATTCACAGTGTCACGGGCTAGAAGCCGGTCAACCTATGACCTAGGTTTGGACGGTAAGAAATCGCTAAGGGGTTCTAACTAGGGCCGCAACGGCCGAACAAGAAAAGATGTGTGCGAACTGCAGGCGAGGTCACGTGACTTGGTGAACTCGTGATATCGTTGGTGCCTAAGGCAGCTCGCGAGTGCCGATAGGCTCGAGCATACAGCGGGCCTTGCCCGCTACACACAGGTTTAATTCATTTAAATTCTACAATCTAAGTATACATCCTCTTGACCAATCAGAAGACTCTATTCAAAATTAGATAACGCTTGTCATTCCCTCTGGAATGCCAATAGTGAGCCCCCTGCCTGCAGCTTCATCTCCCTCTTCCCCATGTGGTTCCACCTTCCTGCGCCAATACATATTCAAACACTGACAGATCTTGCTAGGTGGATGTATCTTACTATATCTTACTGCGTACTTGCTGGCGTAGTAATTAGGTAATTAATAAACCCTGCAGGCCTCCCTCTTATATAAATAACATAAGGCTCAAGCACTAGGAGGCAAGGGTCAATTAGTGGCAGCCCTGAGCCCTAGCGCTAAGCCTAAAACACAGATCACATGCGCGGTAGAATCCAAATTTGCAGTGATCACATGACCAAATCTTACCCGATCGGGTAAGAGGGGTGTCGCTGGAACCTACGGGGTGTCGGTAAGGCGCCAGGGGGTGTCGCTATATCATCCATTTAACTATAAGGAATCTATCAGAAGATAATAACTCTACAAAACAGGCAAGGTGGCCGAGTGGTTAAGGCGGTTGATTTAAGAAATACATCTTAAATATCTTAAATTCCCAACTTCCGAGAGGATCCTGGGTTCGAACCCCAGCCTTGTCAACTTTTTTTTCATCCCTTTTTAGGGATACCACCTTCTCCTCAATTCGTTGAGTCAAAATGGTTGATGTTAGTTTGTCTATGTACCATCTCTTATCGATAAATCAATAACAGGAGTACAGTTTCCATTCATGGCGGGAAGTATCGATCAGGGTTGCGCCTTCCTTTTTGTACGCCGTGGGAGATGTGCGTCATCAAAGTAAAGTCGAATATGCTCAACCCTTCTATGGGTGTGCATCATGAGCTTAGCCCTCAGCCATCTTTATGCCCACCGTAAATAGAAAGCTTATTATATTTCCCTTCATCTTTAGTCAACGCTCGATTTATTTCAAATTCTCAATCGGCTTATCGCAAAACAGAAACCTGACATCCTTTTAGATAAATGAAGGATACGCAGTTTCTCTGAAATAGCTTTCTTTAATAATGGCATCCCTAGCCTGGGCTGGTACAGGAGGGGACCTACTCATAAGCCTTTTCCCTCCAGGCTCCAGCGAAGTTTCCACTCCCCTCCTTCATAGAGGTTTTCATGTCTGTAGGGATTCTTTACCCTATACCTTATGATAAAACATGGCTGGCAACTTTAATGACTTGCTATGAATTTTGCTTTATGTCTTTGATTATTGCTGTTATATCAGCCAGTGGCCTTCTGGATCTTGTCATCTTGATAAATGGCTGCAGATCGGGTCGCCAGCTCATGAGCCTGCTGCCTCACCCCTCTCCTCTCAGCAGACCTTCGAGATCAAACCATAAGTTATCCAACCATTTACACTCCAATATCGAGGATTAGCAACATGGCCAGAGTAAGTATACAGCTTCTACATATCCTTCTTTCTCAGTTAAAGCGGCTTGCAAAGCACCGCAACGCAAGGCAATGCAGCTTGCAAATGTGAACAAGCTTATGCTCATTCACAAAGTTTTTGCATCCGAGTAGACTAACATAAGTTATTATAGAAGCGCCACACCTGCTTTGTTTGTGGAGAGAGGGGCCATTTTGCCTACCAATGTGTGCAGGCAGAGGCGGCCGAGCTGGTCATAAGGTGGAGGGTCGCGGTACATGAGTGATGTGTTTTCAATGGACACACAATCAATGAGGAAGAGTCCTGAATGGTCATAGTTTCTTCCCGCTCCCCCTCCTCCTCCCACCATGGGTGGCGAGCCCATGATGAGGGTGAGTTGTCCATGCCAACAGTGCCGGAAAATGAGCAATTACTGATTGATTATGTCGTAAAAGCCGCCGTCCCTACCCCCAGTGATGATAGCTGGGATGTTGATGGCAGAGTGATGGATCCTGTATGCAGAGATCAGAGTGATTCCCCCCTGTGTTGCAGATAAATTACTCCTTTGGCACTTCCACCAGTCTGTGCTAGCCAATATGAAGGGGGCTGGGGAACCATCTTTGAACATGACTTCCCCCAGGCACAGATATGATCAAAGAGATCATCCAGGGGCCATATCCGGCAGAGCGCATGGAATTAGAGCTCTGTTCCTGGATTTAGGGTTTCCAGGGATTTCAAGACAACAGGAGCTGGCCCCGGCAATGGGAGGGTCAAGAAACCATCCTGCCCCGCCCCCGTGGCCTCCGCGATCTCGTTGGTCGCGCCGCAGCCCCAGGCTCCGGTCCAGGCTAACCTGGCCAATTCAGAGGAAGAAGAAGAATAAGAGGAAAGAGGGCGGTCTCGTTTTCCAAAGATTAATCCGAGGATCCTGAGGAACGGAGAGGCAATAATGCCGCACCGGAACGGGGGATTCTGCTTGTTTTTCCAATGTGTTTCCAGGCCGACTACGTCTTTTCTCCTGCGATTCCAGGCATCTCACTTTAATATCTAGGACATGAGGTGCATCACGAGCATTTTACATCTGTATCCATAACGAGACTGTTGCAATGGGGTTAGAGGACGAAGTTGATGAGCTTGGTAGTACAACCGTACATATTGGGCATTTCCTTTCTCGGCTGTCTTGCGAGTATGCCATCAATCTGCGCCGCTTTGAGTTTCGGATTTAGTCTTCATAGGTATGAGAGAAATGAACTGTTGTCTCTTGTGCTACAACGTGTGCACACGTCAATCTGTACGCTGCGCACCTAATCAATGTCAAGTCTACAAATGGTTTCGGATTATCGATTTCCGCGGATCTTACGACTCTGACAAGTAGAGACGTCCGAATCTGCGCAATGCCAATTTGGGCTTCCCAGAATGACCTCTCAATCCACATCGTTACATGGAAACTGGTAGCTGACACCGCTGGATGGATCCGTTACTCCAACTGATAACAAACGGTGTTGCTTTTCATGGCGAGTAGTGGAACAAGCACCGTCGTCCTGCACATAAGGAGATCTCGACATATTCAGGGACGAGCAAGTACCTCTTGTGAGGTCATTCCCGTTCGGCCCTGCGTGCCTCAAAATCAATCCCTGATTTCAATCACTACAGTCGGCCCCATAAGTTTCTGTACCCTATGCGTCTCTCGCGCAACGTATTTTTCTACCTACTACCTTTCTTAACCCATAGAACCATGCAACGCACGCCTCTAAGAGAAATTAATTCTAATAGGGGGCGCGGAGATGAGCTGAGTCCCTATTCCTATGGAATTATTCAAGGTTTAAATCTTGGGGGGCATGGATATTATTACATTAGTCAGACCTTTGAAATTCTGCGATATAGTTAGTCTAGTATACTATTAAGAAGAACCCCGCCTCCCTTGCTCACTATGGCTACCTACTAGGCATTACAGCTACAACTTCCTTTAAGCACCAATATCAATCCACTAAATAATGTTATGATTATGTTCATCTTTCATTATGTCTAATTAAATTGGATTACTACCGTTGCCATTATCATGTGGCACTTAGGTTTTGAAAACTAAACCCTGCTGGTCGAACTACGCATCCACCTTCCTCATCAACTTCTTAATTCAACATAGTACAAAATTTAGTAAACATGGATATCCAATATATCAGACTATCTGCTCATAGCCTCAATACTTCTGCGAAAACCACAGGATATAGCCGGTGGTGTCTTTAACACTATCCCCCAAACTAGGAAAATAATGAGATCAGCGCTGGCAGTATCAGTTGCTAACCAGACCTCGCCAATTTAAATCATGCAGAAGCCAGCTCAATAGCCAGCTCAGGCACTCTACTAAATGGCTACCATGTCTCCCTTCATCTACTCTAACTTCAAATATTGTATATCTATCTTCTTGCCAGGGTGGTAGAACTGATGTTCTTAGGGCTTCAGATCATCACCTGAGTCAGGATCCCGATCGGCGGTCGGGAGTCAGGAGTCATGCCCCAGAATCAGATCCATATTCTCACTTAAGAATTTCCCCATGAGGAAGGGGTAGGCAACGCCAAAGCTAAATTGGTGAAGGTGAGAGACTGACGATCAAGAAGCATGCTGCATGCTGCAGCCTGCATGGCGCATGCACGCGTTCGGCGGTGGGTCCATGGACAAACTTCGATCAAGTGGGACTGGATTGTAGATCTTCATAACGGAATGTCAAACAATTGCTTCTGGCCAGTCGCTATACGAGGCTCTACTTTGTAGCCCCATTTGACCGGTCTAGATTGCCGGCGGAAAGCCGCACGTCGGAGGTGCTCAAGCAGCGGCTCGGTCAGGGGCCGATAGGCTCAGATTGCTGGTTCGGAGGTGTTTGTTGTCTTCCGCTCGGCGGGAAGAAATACAGGTGTTTTTGTCATCTCACTTGAAGGGAGGGGAGGAAGATTCGCTGGCAAGGCAATGCAGATGAGGCTTAGGTCCGAACATACGATCTCCGTGCATTAAATAGTATCTAACAAAGGAAATAAATGATTGTATGAAAGATAGTAGGACGATTACCTGCTGAGTCGATTTGGCTTCCGTAAAGTTTCCTCTGGCTCTGCAGGTTCGTGAGTGATCTCAATAGTCGTTTCCTGATATACGCCGTGGGCCATATCGCCGAGCTCCATATCGCTTTTCCGCACAATATCTTCTGTCGAGTCGCCTCGGTCATCGAGTATTGTGTCGTTGATAGTTTGCAAGCCACGGCGGAAGCGAGACTTGACCCGAGACTTCCTGCTGTCAGGGCCCGCAACGGTGGTGCTGACATTTGTGTTGTACAGATTTGAGCCGGTGTGTGCGTAGTAACGGTCCGACGAGCTGACCTCGGTGTCCAGCAGCAGATGCCGGCGGGTCAAGGTGTACACGGTCACATCCACAAGTCCGGACAGAGCCATGAGAGTACCGGCGGCGGCGAAGTATGCCCTGCTGGGAACGGCATGTCTGGCCGTAGACATTCGCCCCGCAGCTAGAGGAAGGGAGAGAACCAGGTATACCAGAGGGTAAATAACCATGTACACGACGACTCGATTCAGTCGGCTAAGACTGTCCTGGTGGTTTTGTCGAAGGGCCGCTGCTTGTTTCATCCGACGTCGGAGGTAGAAAAACATGATGCCGTACAAAATGACTGTGCCAAATTCGGAAAGGAAAATCCATAGATAGTGCCCCCAGAGCCGCTCAAGTTCGCGTTCTGGACTGAGCCAGCACTGTTGAGAATCAGTCCAATCTTCATTCATCGTCCAAGGTAGTCCCTGAAAAACTCACCCAGCCGGCTTCCGAAATCACAAAGGTTTGCGAGCCATACAATCCGACAGAAATCAATCCGAGCGTAATAACAAAAGCCCAGAGCGCTACAACACACCAGATAAACGTCGCATAGGGTAATTGCCGCCCACGTAGCACAACCGCACCAGTATGCATCGCAATGGCCAACACGAATAAACCACTCCCTGGATCTGCGGTCTGAATCCACCATCCTTGGAGAACGCATGCCGCACTTGGGTAATTGACACCACCACGGGCGACCCAATGCAGGCAGATCAAGAACGCCGTTGCTTGTTGGAGGTCGACGAGAAGGAGGTTATAGATGAGCACGACATATTGATTCTTCGCGAGAGGACGTTTGTAGTAATGTTGCCAGAAAATGAATCGGTACGTGAGGAAGGAAATGAGCGATATTGCAGCGATCCACGAGCAGAGAGCGACTACTCCTATTGCAATGAAGCCCGCGCGAAGGTCCCCCGACAGAGGCTCATCGGCGAACGTTGGCGGCCCAACTTTATCAGAACGAGCGGTGAGGTACGATTTGTCGCCATTTTCGCTTTGCAACAGTAGCAACGCTCGAAACAAGCTAGACATCCTCTTTTCTCAGTGCATTTGAATGCAGGTCGGGGATGTTGTCGTTGAGGAAGATGCCGGACTGATGAAGTTTGGCGAGCAGGCTCCTGATTCTGAGCATGACAGGTACCTCAGGCTTTAATATGCCATCTGTGCGGCCAAAGTCAAAGCGAAAGCTTTTATTACCTTGGCTTGATAGTCTAGCTTAGGCTATCCTCTAAAGCATCTATTTAGGGCCACATGGCAGGGGATGTGATTCCCTAAACCGCATAACCCCAATAATCGAGACACCATGAGATCCGCAAGAGGTGGAATATGGCTCTGTTGGTCTCCACAGGCGATCCACCGAGGAGCGGTCTCGAGCCGCAAAACGCTGAAGATGCAGTGGATATTAGATAGGTAGTGACTATCTGATATGTACCAAATATACCCACAATATTTGCTAAGCTGTCTGGGCGCAAAACCGTGGTTAGGCGGGGGTCAAAGCACACATTGACCTGTATGAGCGTAGAGAACCTGCGAACATGACAATTATCAAGACCCAAAACACATGGTAAGCATAGGAGCAGATCTCGAGGCGAAGATCCGCTTTGCTATGGGCTGGTGCCAGCGCAGTGGTTGATCTACACAATAGTCCGTAACTCTGTATGGTGCCAGTAACATCAGAGTAGCCGCAACTGGTCAGGAGCAAAAGTCAACGCAAGATATGGTAGGTAAAACTCCGTACCTATGCACGTTTTTCGAGCCTCTGCAGGACTCTACACACTTTAATCTACCCAATGATGGCGCATCAGTCATTTGCCACTCGGTTTGAGAATCGGAACCAGAGCAGTCTGGAAGATCATATCGATCTGCATTACTATTGAACTGCAGAGGTGATCTCCCCAACTGTTGTTTAATGTCCCCTGAGAAGGAGATTTTTGGGATGTTCAAAAGCTGGTGTTCGAGATCTGAAGTCTCAAGATTCGACAAATCAACGCTAATAGCAAAGCGCTGGCAAGGATAAGGTTGCCACTCCTGTCCAACAGCGTTGCACAGACCAATGAAGGCAAAAGCTCCTTCAATTTCCACATTGCGAAAGCGCCCTTTAGAAGCTGTCGTTCAAGAGAAATGGAGACACCTATCAGCAATAGAACTAACAAGGCCAGGACATTCAATGAAGTTGCACTTGAGAAACAACCGACCGATACTGGGATGGAGACGCAGCATGGAGTCGTAATCATGAACCTAAATAGTATCCTGAAAGCCAGAGGCTGCATGCGAGGAGCGATTCAACTTACTCCATCGGGATAATGCGATGGAGGTAATAAGACAACAAATTGAGACAACTGACAAATCACCATCGCGCTATTACGCAATTTCATTCTCGAATTGCCATGCCGCACTAAGTACTGTGGATGATCGACTGTGCGTCAGGTCACCAGTGCTGAAATGGAACTTCCTCCGAAGCTCCAGAGCTTTTGGCTTATCTAGGACTTGACGGTGTCTCCGCGGAATAAATCTTAGGCTGTCGTTTTGGCTTTGGCAGTCTCTAGTGGCAGGCGGACAGGGTCCGGCCAAGGCTCCGTCAAAAGCTTAAACCTGTCTCTGTGCCGATCCTCCCTTCCAGACTCGAGTGAGCAGAGCTTGAACGGTTTCCATCCGGAAACTGCTTCAACTTCTCGATCTGGACAAATGCCGACAAATGGCCGCATTCAAGGTAAGCGTCGCAGAGATTCCGAGTTGATTCATCGATCTCATCTAGGCCAAGAAAGCCTCACGAACAGCGGCGCACTAGCTCAGTTGTGGCGGCTTGAGTCTTGTGCTAGCAGCCTATCACCCAAATGACATCTTGGTTTAGAGTTTACCGACTGAAAGGTTTATGAATAATAACCTCGGTCCATGGAAACCCCTCGGCGCTCGAAAGGATAAGCGTTGGCCCGTTCGGTAGGTACCGTAAAACTGTCTCTATTGACTTAGTTGATATCATATACTTGTCATATACTTGATGTACTCACCCAATAGACCATGATGAAGTCCCATAATCAGAATCCGTCTATTTTTGAGATGCTTCTTGAGCCTCCCTTCCAGTTCGAAGCGAGCGACCGGATCGTCCCATGAGTGATAAAATGATCTGACAACTTCTCTATTGTCTCATGCATTGTCCAGAGATGATTGACTTGAGAGGCATTATCGATATTGAAATATCTCTTCACTGCGGTGTTGCAGATGCTTCTTCTCGCCTTAGTATGTAGAAGCGCGATGCCAAGGGCTGTCCTTGCATGGGGTGGCACATATATTGGCTCAGCTTGTATATTTAGAAACAAGCATACCAGATGTGAGACGGTTTCCTATTTTGTCACTCAGCCTCATCGGAGGCTTATGGTCTGGCAATTGGCATACGGTGTGGAATGCTCAGCCTTATCTTAGACTGATTCCATCGATCCAGTTTCGATCCAATCGATCAATGTGGCGTCAGACGGACGGGAGGCCTCATCAAGCGGTCAGTTTGTAAGCGTACAAGCAGGCCGTGAGAGGCATGATTATTATTGCTTGGCGATAATTTTCCGTCTAAGGCGTCTCGTTTGGACCATTATTCGTTCAATACGGAGTAGAGTGGTGTCACTGACTCATTGCACTTTCCCGCAGATGCGTACATGAGAAGTATGACAAAAATATCTCAAATGATCGACGGAACGGTGTCACCCGAGGCGGATGGAAGTTGTTGGAAGAGTGTGAAGCTGTATGTCTCATTGCGGAGTGGGCTCAACCTCATCAGATGACTGAGCGTTACTCGAACGGGTGTCAGTTGCAGAGTCTTGGATCCCCGCATTTGTCACTCCACTATCATCAGGTAGTACCGTTGTCGTATCATGGCAACAATCCCGGAGCTTGTCGATCTTACTTGCTCAGTACTTTCTCCAGCTAGCTGAGGGGATGTCTTACTCATGTCGATACGCGATTGATCCGGTTTCTGAGGATCCAGAGTTAGGCCCTTGGGTGGTGATGAATTGTTCTGGTCTCTCTCCTCTTCGGCATGGCAAGTCGTCTGATCGGGTCGCCAGTATTTGAGATATCATTGCTAATAATAGACAGAAGAGCAGGACATATTCAGCAAGAGAAGTATATAAAGCTTCACGATCCCAGATACCACAGCCAGGTAGATAGCAACACCAGAGCATCTAACCACTCAAACTCAAGCTTCTCTGTCAAGACACTGAAACCACTCGTCCTCTCAAGATGAAGTTCACTGCACCCATCTCTCTCCTCACCCTCTTCTTCTCCTCTTCTCTCGCTGTCCCGACCCCAGACACAAACGCCGCAGCTGCAACCTCCGTCTCTGTCTCCTACGACCAAGCCTACGACGTGAGCGGCACCTCCATGTCCACCGTCTCCTGCTCCGACGGTATCTACGGCCTCATGACCAAGTGGCCTACTTTCGGCAGCGTCCCCAAGTTCCCTCTCATTGGAGGCTCACCCACAATCCCCGGCTGGAACAGCCCCAACTGCGGAAAATGCTACAAATTGCACTTTGCTGAGGGCAATATCGATAACACAATCTATATTACGGCGATTGATGCCGCACCTGGCGGTTTCAACATTGGTTTGAATGCGATGAACCAGTTGACGAGCGGAATGGCGACGCAGTTGGGTAGGGTGCAAGCAACGTATGAGGAGGCTGATCCATCGCTCTGTACTTAGATGGATCTTTGAGTACAGGAAGGATACAGAGACACATCGGGTGGGATTTATTTCACAAATGCATAATGGCTTGGCTTCCAAGGCCTCTTTCGATCCTTAGACTTGTTGATAGTTATGGTTATATATGATCTATTTTTGTAAATGTCATCAGAGTGAAGATTCATGCAATCTATATATAGTGTACATTCTAGGGCATTAGTCGTCAAGATATAACCTCCAACATCTCTTCCACTCGCCCAAACTTATCTCGAACTTTCCCCTTCTGCTGCCCCCGCGCCCGCTCTGCCTTATCGATGCGTTCCCAGTCCTGCCAGGTTGTTGGCCGTAGACCGCGCTTCTCCGCTTCGGGCCGTACACCATCCCAGCCAAGACCGGTGCTATTGGCCGGCCCATTCAGCAGTGATCCCTTGACTGATTGATTCGCTTTGTCCGCAGCCAGACTGTCAGCGGTAGTGAATGCATCGGTCATGGTTGTAGCAATGACACCAGTTGGGCCACGCTTGACCCAACCCGCACAGTAGAGCCCAGGCAGATGCGAGATAAGCGAACCATCGGGTAGTCGCTCATTACCTCCTGTAGTGGTAGGGTCGGTAATCCTACCGAAGCCGTCGTTGGGGATCACGCCGCGATCAGAGTCGAATTGGATGCCTAGATCCTCCAACCCTGGCAGAGGGAGGGATTTGTAGCCGACACTGCGGAAAAAAGTGTTGGCAGGTATGTCGACTTGCGCTCGCTTGCCGCTTGAGAGGTACTTTGGTGTAACCTTGGCACTAGGGGTGTGACGATCGCTCGGATCCAGCTCATTGCGTGAGAACCTGACGGAGGAGAGGCGGTAAGGATGGACAGGAGACCAAGTCAGGCATTCCGGAGATAGAAGAAAATCTAGAGACCATGATTTGGTCGCAGTGGTAGGGTCATTGGTCGACCCCTTCGCCAACAGCTGCATTAATCTTTTTTGTGCTCGAGGAAGCGCAGCGATGACGTCGTCGGGTGGAAAGAGGTCTCGAGGAATTGGATCAAACGACACAGAAGGTAGCTGGAGAAGCTCTCGGATCTCCTTGATCGTAAAAGCGGCCTAAGGGCAAATTAGCAGGACATACGGCAGAGGAACTTGTCAAACGCACTTGCAACGGTCCGCGACGGCCTACCACCCGAACACGCTTGATCTTGCTCCTGACCAACTCCTCCACCGCGTACTCTGCGATATCTGTGCTTCTTAGAGTATTGATATCCGATAAAAGTATCCTTGCGACATCCAAGGCAACGTTTCCCTGGCCAACAATCACAGCGTCCTCACCGGCCGTAAGATCCGGTGCGAGATCACGGTGCTCGGGGAGGCCATTGTACCACCCCACAAACTCACGCGCCGAATACACATTACGAAGTGCATCCTCACCAGGTATGCCCAGCTTCTTGTCTTTCGGCGCTCCGTATGCGAATAGGATGGCGTCGTAATGTGGTTTCAGCACTTGGAGAGGGAGGTTTATGCCCAGTTCGATGTTGCCGATAAAGTTGAACCTCGGAGACGCTGCAACTTCGGTAAACTTTTCCTCGCAGTTCTAATCGACGGAAAGGGATCAATATGATGTCCACAGGCATGATTAAAGACATTAAGCGTACCTTGACTTCGGGGTGGTCTGGTGCAACTCCGTATCGCGCCAGGCCAAAGGGGACCGGCAATTTCTCGTACATATCTACCACCGCATCCTCAACCTTTGATAGCAGTCTATAGGCTGCATAGAATCCAGCAGGTCCTGACCCTACAATGGCAATGCGGAACGGACGATCGGCCTGTATCGTCTGGCTCTGGTGACGGCGCTGGACAGTCAACTGCGCCAGTTGCTGAACGTGTGGGCGGTGTAGCAACGTGCGACTAATTTTGGCAGTACATTGGGCGCAAAGGTAAGGAGCGCGCTTGAGATTCATCATTATTCACCCCTGGCGATATCCAAAAGAAAGTAAAATATTGGCAATAGAGATGGTCGTCCAGCGATGACTCCATTTCGTTCCGAGGCCCGCACGTGACCCTTATCAGCCGGTTGCCGCGCCGACTATCGCGAGTGTTGATGCTCCACCCGATTGGGAGCTGCCTTGATAGAGAGGGTCCGATCTCTGATGATGATTATTACCTATCTTCAAGACAGGCTCCTCTTCCCCTCGTGCATTCCTCCCGTTCCATGGTTCCGTGCGTGCTTCTCGAACCGCATCCTCATCGTACCTTGCATGCTCATTTTGGTTGATCTCCCTCAGCATTCCTTTCTGTCTGGGTCATTCACGCCCACATTCCACTCCTCGCGTGGATGCGCCGATAAGCATCATCCATCACGGCCATGGGGAGATCGTCGCCTCCATTCCTTTACGGTCCTTCCTCCTCGCATAGCTTCTATGGACCGACGGATCGCCCATTCAATCCAAAGGCCGTGACGGAGGCGAGCTGGACTCGTCCGCCGTCAAAACCTAAGCAGAAGGGACCTTATGTTAGCTTCAATAAACATCCTGACTCGGTAAGTTAATTCTTGAACAGATCCAGCCTAATTGACGCACACGTGCTAATTGACGCTCAATCAATAGTATTCGAACTTCCCTGTTGGAGTGTCCCGCTGGACTCCCATGAGCCCCAGAACAAAGGGGAGAGTGTTCTATGGTCGAAAGGTACAGCTTGGTCTGCGCGTGCTGGCGTTACTCGGCGCCCTCGGCTCGCTCTTTTGTGCCATTGTCATCAAGAATGTCGCTGTCTCGATCATTTGGATCATTCGAGTCGGGGTGAGTCCACAAATACGATCTGTTGCGAATCCAGCTAATGTATGTGCAGCCTATCGTTGCCGTTATTCATACCCTCTATGGAGTCTACCACCTATGTCGCTCGCCAGTCACCAGACCTGCTGGATCACAGGCCAGTTACATGGTCTTTGCGGCAACGCTTGACCTTGGCTTGATTCCATTCTATGTCTTCTCCGCATACATCGCATACAAGCAGATCACCAACAATGCCTACCACTGGAGCACTCTGCTGAGCGCCGACACTAGTATCACGGACAAGATCGCTCAATCCACTTTCCTCCTCAGCATTGTCAACGGAAGCTTTCATTTAATCTCTCTGTGCATTTCTGTTTGGTTGGCTTTAATATTCCGGCAGATCTCCCAACTGCCTCCGGATCTGAATCCTCTCGAAGACAATTTGACCGCTCGTCCTCATAAACGCAACAAGTCTGAAATCAACGAAAAGCATCTCAGTCACTCTACTATTGCATCTACCGCGTCTATGGAAGACCCACTTATTGGTCCTCCTCGGCATATGCCATTCATGCACACCCGCAACCAGTCCTCAGAAGACGCCTCGAGTCGGTTTTCCGTTATCAGCGAGAAGAGGCGATCACAGCCATCCCTGTACCGCGACACGGCTGTCTCACCTGTTCCACCTGTCCCTCAACACTCCTTCCTGGCCGAGCACGACCAGCAAGTGTCGGCGCAATCGCCTTTGGCAGATTCTCACAACGAGCACGCTCGGCAAGTCTCTCATGATCTTCCTGACAGAACCCAATGCGTGAGCCCAGACTCGGACAACTGGATTGTCTACCCTTCTCGGTCACCCTCACCAGCAGAGGCTGGCTTGGATGAGAACTTAGCCCGTCGAGAACCCTCCTCTGCCTACAGTCAAGCGGAGAGCCTTATCTCTGCAGGTAGCAGCTTCAAGGACTGGCTTGCTTCCGCTCAGCGCTACGGACGGGATATTGGCGAGACAATCTCGGAGGACATTCGCGGCGAGTACGAGTCACTCGCTTTGCACGAACACTATGCGAATGACGAGGACATTCACGATATCCCTCAGGAGACACGATTCTACGACAACGCCGAGCAAGACATTGGCGACCACAATATCAATATCTTCCTGGACCACAACGACCGCGAGCGACAATTTTCCGCCTCCCTCCAGGTCAACCCTCTTGCCCTCAACCCTCCCACCCCACAGCCTGTCCAGGACGAGCCCGACAACGCAACCCGAGCTCCTACCCGTGCCGCTCTCACTGATATTCCGAACCTCACCCCTAACCCTCCCGCTTCACTTCCATCCCCAGAGAGCCCCGAGAAGAAAGGCCGCTTCTACGGAGAACTCAACACTAAGCCTTGGCTCACCGTCCCCCGCAGCGCAAGCGGTCAGAACGAGCCCGACTCGCACAATCTGGACCGGAAGAGAAGCAAGCTCGTCAAACGCAACAGCCAGAAACTAAATACGTACGGCACGCTCAAGCAGCATGACGCCGATGATCTGGACGGTGAAAATGAGATCCCTCCGGTACCTACAGATCCTGGGACTGCAGACGGTGATCGCAAGGGCCGTGTTGTCAGTAACTCCGGGGCTGACATCGGTCGGCATGATTTCGGATCGGGTTCCTCCTTGGCGTATGGTAATTACATCGCCAACTTGGGAGTGGGACGACGTCGAGATGTGAGTGGAAAGATCGCCGAGGAAGGTAGAGGTGGTGCTGTCACAGAGAGTCCGAAGCCGATTAGAGCTGCTGGATGGGCTCGGTTTGCTGGACTCTAGACCCGCAACTTGGAATCCAGGGTAACATTTGGATGATCAGGATGACGATGGAATGGTCTTTTTCATGATGAATTGGAATTGTAACGAGTTTTACGTGACGGATGTTCTTTCATGTTTGATAATACTTTTTGGCATAAAGGTATGTTAGGTAGTTAGTAGCTCCCTCAAATCCAAATAAAGTTGATTTCGCAGTGATGGGACGGATTGGATAGGCGTTTCACATCCAAGTACAGGAATGTGAGATTTGACCGAGCTACGAAGGAACACCTTCATACTCCCACCCTTGAATGACCCTTTTGCCTCTCCTCGAATTTCTCCGGTTCGCGTTACATTTAACAAATAACGTGAGCGCAGTAATGATGCAGATAACGATCCCGGCAATGGCAGCAACCAACACGGTGCGTCGTTCCAGCTGGTGTGGATCTGCTACGTACGGGCAGGAGGTATCAGGACCCCCTGTTACCCAGCAAGATGCAACGTCCTGTGAGTTGAAATCAAGCCAGACCTCGTACTTTGCGGGGTCCGTCGTTGTAGGGTCTAGAATGTCCTTCGGTCCATCGAGCAGGTAATGGTACAGGTAGGTGTTCTCAAGCCCCGTCCGGGGTATCGAGAAAGACGTATTCTCCGGGCAAGCGTGGTCGTACGCGTCTGAGTACGTATACGATTGCGATGAGAGGGTCCAGGTGAAGGGATGGTTTCCCACACGACAGGCGGCATAGCGCTCTTCGCTGCAGTTGGTGGCGCGCCAATGGCCTCCCAGTGAGAGATCCATCACTGCGCATCGATCGATCTTCGGCAAGTCCTCATCGGTGCCAGAAGGTGAGGCGTCTCGAGGTTCACCAATGGCCCAGGCCCACGAGGCAGACATGGAGATGTTTTGATACGATTTCGCATCTTCATCGGCAGTCTTGTTGAACAAGGTGCTGTTGAGCATCGGGGATAAGCCACAGACTGTGAGGTTGACAATCAGATCGGACAGTTCTCTTAAAGTCTTAGTTTCGTTTGAGCCGTTTATGATGGGTATGCTGCTCGATTCAGCCCATGACGAGTTGACTTGCGAGACTGAGGTAGCCCCCGGATCGTAGAGACAGCCAGAAGTCAAGCTACCATCATCAGCCGCTGAGATCGAGACCGCAGTTGTCAAGTAATGAGGCGGAAATATGACATCGTTGTCAGCAATCAAGTCATAGCTCCCCAACTGCGGGTCCACGGAGCCATATTCCAGAAACAGTCGTCGCTCTTGCGCAAGTTGCACATATTTCGAAGAGGGCCAACCGTCCGGCGTGCTTTGTTTTCCATCCGCTTCCTCGTGAACGGTGAAATATTCCGTGATAGGCTTGTATCCATCGTCAACTTCATACCAAGATTCGTTGAGGTTCCTGCGGTCCTTGGCTAACTGGGACGGTCTGTAGATGTACGCAGAAAGACGCGCATCAAACAAGGAGCTCATGTATTCCGACGGTGAAGGTAGCTGTTCGCTGGTCACTGACGCGGCTGGCTGATCTGGAGATGCAGCACTTGATGCCACATGAAGATTTAGGGTGATGAAACTCGTATACACATTCCATTGAGAATTCGTGACTTTGAAATGGTCTAGGAAGATATCAACTAGCCCAGAAAGGTCGAGATCATCGGAGCAAAGATAGGGACCGAGCTCGTAGAGTAGCGAGCCTGATGAGTCGGCGACTGCTGTGACGGTCCCTGTGGCTGCACTGGCCGTGGCTGTTGGAGATGGCGTTGTCGAGACAGTGACAACTCGAGCGCTCTGGGGAATTGCCACTGGGCAGAAGGTCCAATTTCGCTGCTCAACAGACCAGTATATATCAACCAGGAAACGACGGTAGCCGATAACGAGCAAGTTCGAAATGCATTTCTGAGCAGAATTGTCGTAGTAGATGTTGTTACCGAAGCATGCTGCAGTCAACGAAACGGCCGGTACGGCAACAAAGTTAATAGGGATTTGGCCAGCAACATCTCTTTCACTCTAATGAACCATCGTTAGTGGTATTTCGTAAAGTGTCAGTTCGCGAGATCAACGCACGAGTAAGACAGCCACCCATGTAGAGTTTACAAGGGAAGCATCAGGGTCATAACTCAGGCCCATGGAGCTGCATGCAATGGGCAGCGGGATTCATCAAACTAGGGGATAAAAATCATTTCAAAGTGAATTCGTAATTGAATCGAGCAATTCGAGTGATGGTGAATAGTTAGTCGAGGCTCGGACTGCGGAGAAGCGGGAGGTGCGATTAATGAGTGACGGGATGATCGGCCCTTTTCCCCTTTGGGCAAGCCAACACCATCTATCTGGCCACTTCGTAACCGTCACTCCCTGTGATTTTCCCAATTCATTCATCCTTCAGCCAAACCACTTCGATACACCGTCATTCCAGCTTTCATATCATATTCCAACCTCCATGTATCGATCTTTCCTCTGTTAATCGATAGTAACACAAACTACCTAAATTCCCTTTCAACATGGCGGCTCCAGGTGGGCCTAGCCCGCAGCAGATTGCTGCCATGCAGCAGCAGTTCGCTGCCGAAGCAGCGAGACGAGGATTGACCCCCGAAGAATTTGCAAGGCAGCAGCGCGAACAACTGAATGCAGAGGCCGCTAAGCAAGGCATGACGACCGAACAATACGTTCAGATGTTGAGGATGCGGGCTATGGCCGCGCACCAGCAGCAGATGGCCCAGCGACAGGCTCAAGCAGCGCAGCAGGGACAACCGGGCCCGCAACAGCAGCAACAGCAACAGCAACAGCAACAGCAGCAACAGGGGCAGCCTGGACAGCCCGCTCCGCCTCAGCAACAGATGCAGCAGGTCCCCGTGAACCCGTCGAATCCTCCCGACCCTCGAGCGATCGCGGTCGCCAAGTTCCTACGCTCTCAGAACCTAAAGTCGCGGACTTGTATCCTGGACGGGCAAAGAAAGGACATGTTCAAGGGTATTTACTCTCATCTCCCTCCAAGTCTCCGAGTCAATACTGACAAGTAGCGTAGTCAAACGCGCCATCCGCGCTCTCGAATCCCCCGCCTACGCCAAAGCCGCCTCCAAAAAGAACTCCAACCTGCCCCCCGTCACCGACCGAGCCTCAGCCGAAAACGTCTTCAAACTCCTCCCTCTCTCCCTTCTCGCCCTGCGCGTCTCCAAAATCGACCCACACGCCGGCCACAACCACGCCAAACCAAAAACCCGCGTCAAGGGCCTTTGGACCGTCAAGATCGAGCAGCACCAGGAAACAGACCCCATGATGCACTACGTCTGGCTCTACGAGGGACCCCAGTGGAAACAGAAGGCCATGGCTGCTGCCGTTGTGGCGGGTATCTTTGCCGTTGTGCTCTTCCCGCTGTGGCCGATCATGCTCCGCCAGGGTGTCTGGTACCTCAGCGTCGGGATGATGGGTCTGCTGGGCCTGTTCTTCGCCATGTCCATCTTCCGTCTGATTCTGTTCTGCGTGACGGTTTTCGTCGTGCCTCCTGGTCTCTGGTTGTTCCCTAACCTCTTCGAGGACGTCGGGTTCATTGATAGCTTTAAGCCTTTGTGGGGTTGGCAAGAGGTATCTTTTTTCTCCCTACACTCTTCCCTTTCGATTAGTATACTGACTCTGCCATAGAGCAAGAAGAAGAAGAAAAAGTCCAAGAAGGCCGTCGCGGGCACCGAGGCCGCCGAGCCACAGACTGAGACCGCAACTGCATCCGGCAAGGGAGATGATACTACCCCCTCCGCAACCACAACAGCAACACCTGCCCCCGATACCTCCGGCGCCGTGAAGCGCGATCTAGCGCCCAAGGTGGAAGAAGCCACAGAGGAGTAAGTGGCACAGATGGGTTGCACTCGGGCATGATCTTAGGATGAATCGTATTAACGGGTTGCTTTGCATTTTGAGTCGGTTTGGTTGTTCTAGGTTGTCTTCTGGACCTCGGGCTGCTGGTTCATCGGATGATAGCTACACAGGACGTCCATTTTCTCAAAAATATGTTTGTTCACTTCGGGGTTGATGGAGTAAAATTCCACTTATTTGAATTGATCAAAAGTCATGTGGGCCATAAGAGAATCCTGTAATTCCTTTATGATTCTTAACTGTCTGGACGCTATGCCCAGTTCTGATGTCAAAGTCTGAAGATTTTGCCATGGTAAAGCACCCGAGCTTGAAATATATGACATGGAAGAAGATAATCTCCATTAGATACGACAGTATGTACCTCTCTATGAGGCATGAAAATCCAAGATAGACCCAAATAAAGAACAAGAAAATAAGGGATTTGTGAAAGGAACCAGAAAAGAAATAGTTGAATATGGTAACGACAAACAGCGTGGATATCTTCAATCATGGCTGTAGAAAAGGTCAAGAAGACAGAGTAAATGCAATGATGAAGTAACAGAGGTGTCTGGTATCAGTGGTATATATAAGAAAACATGTCGCTGATGTATCGCAAATGCAATAAAACTTCAAGCGTGGAAGTCGACCGAAGACGGAATGCCCTCAATCGTGAGGGGAGTATAAAAGCACTTTTCCAAAATGCGCAAAGCGGTGTTTTCGGGGGCCGGGAAGATGTACAGGCGTACTCTATAATATCTACCGACGCCTAGAGATGCAGAATGAGCCAAGAGTAGAGAGAAGGGCAAATCGATGTGAGGTGGTATCGCTTATAATCCGGAAGCTACCCGGGTGTCTATACTTGGAGCAGTAGGAAGATTGGTATGTGACGTGGGAGGATTGATGTTGGCAAAACTTCTTTGGCGGTCTCGTAACGTCTTCGAAGGCGGCGATTGAGAGGAACGAGCCGTGAGGGGAGCGCTTGGTAGCAGAACAGGCCCATGAGGATCAATTGGAGATGGGATCTTTGGTAGTGGGCAATTGGGGGGAGGTGCCGCTGGGGGTCCTACAGACAGTCCCGGCATGCTCTTTCGCCGGGCCATGCTGAGAGGACGACCGCCGTGGTCCGTCAGGTACAATCTATCCCGTTGGAGCTCAGGGCGGGACTGATTTCCGGCATTTGAGGTTGATCGTGTGGGTTGCGTGTCAGACGGAGGCTTAGTTAACGGATCAATGGCGATGCTTGGCGGACGGGAGGAGTGCGTTGTCGGTAAACGAGGCATGAGTAGACCCCTGTAGTCATGAGTTCTTTGCTGAGAGTCTGCCAGCGAATCCTCGGAATTGCATACTCGCAACTGTCGCCTGGGGGAGACGTTGCGGACGGTAGAAATATCTTCGTATATGTCGTTGAGGCCCATTCTACTCATGTTGCGGGTTGGTGACTGAGGTGGGGAGGGAAACGCAGACAAAGTATCGAGTTGCTCATCAGAATCCTGATGACGGACCCCATTGCTCCGGTCACAGTCCAGACGAAGATCTTGAAGGATTTGAGCTTGGGCGGTCTTCGCAGCAAACCTCTTGCTAAATGACGGAACACTAAAATTGGGTGCTGGGGGTGAAGTGCTTCGCAAGATTGGCTCTGGCACCGTTGACTGCGACCTCGGAGGCTCATGCCCCTCTATGCTCGCCGATCCTGCCAGGTAGGAGGATTGGCGTTTGGCCAGACTTGCCGAGGTCGGGCTCTGTGGTAAACTCGGTTGGGAGGCACCAGGAACTGCAATGCCATTAGGGAGTGTAGAAGGACCACTCGGAGGGGGCCCAGAAGAATGGAAACGCCCGAAGCCGTTGACTGGTGGTGTCACATCCGTCTGTGTGGTTGACATCGAGTTGGAACGGGACTCGGCGCCAGATTGGAAAACCATCGACCGGCGATGGAGAGATATATAGGAGCTCCGGCGGGATTGATCGCTGAGAGCTTGATCTTTTTCGTCGGAACCTGCCGACTGTTGAGGCTGCAGATAGATGCTGGAGAACCGGTTGGGGTCTTTTTGCACCATCTGTCGGATACTCTGTTTTGGCCGCAGCTGATGCTCCATGGCCTCGTCGTACAGCTTTTCGGAGACATATTTTTTGCCTCCGCGGGCTTCGATCTGAGCTCTGACAGCCAGGAGCCAGGAGCTCATCTCTTCAGCATTGGTGAACACAAGAAGGAAACTCCGAGTCCATCTCCGGGCATTGGAGCGATGAAACCCCAGGCGGGAAAACAAGGGCCGATGGGTATCAACTGTTGCCGTGCCATCTTCCTCCGAACTATGGCAAATTTGAAGCACAAAATGTTTACCAGGAATCGCGTCGCTGGCAAAGGCCACTGATCTGGGGCCCAGCTGCAACATCTTCTCCGGTAGTCGGTCATGTTTCCCGCTTCCTGAGTACTGTAAGATATAACCAGATGTGACCAGCACATAGATCTTTTGGGACCAGTCAGTCTTCCCGATAGTTTCGGAGACCGTTCGCATATGTTTCTTCTCCCTTTCTTCCTTCTTCTTCCGTTCCGCGGAAGCTCCCTCATTTGGCGGCTGATTGCCCTGAGGGTCTTCATCCCTGGAGCTGCTGTTCCTCTTTGCAGTCGCCTGGATGCGCAAAATAGAATCAGCAGACATAACTGGTGCCCAGAGACAGTCGTGCTTGATTGCCTGTGGATAGGCCTGAAACAGCGGAGGGGGCTTCCACCCATGGTCACCAGCGACTGGTCGACTGCTGCTGGTCTTTGCTCGGGACTTCGATGCAAGTTTCATTCGACTCGCATCGCCCGGCGGAGAGGCAACCAAGGTCGAGGTCGACATCATGGTTTTTGGGGTGGCACAGACACTTGGCGATAGTGGCGTGTCCGACACGGTCACTGTCTGTGTTACTGTTGTGTGCGCCTCGTCGATTTCCGCGAGCTTCGTGTCAGTGTTGGGCTTCCGCGAGGGCTTCTCCCGGGCAAAGAGTCCGCGCAAGCCAGACTTGGATGTTTGACGCTTGACCGGAGTTTGCTGTAATGGCACACTCTCTCTTTCGCTCTCATTCTGGTAGTTCGTGGGTCGTGGACGTTGCGGTCGAGGGGTTGCAGACGGGATTGATGCTGAGTCTGGAGCTGCAGCTGGAGGTGGAAATTGTACTGAAGAGCGAGCAGTCGGACGGCTGAAGTTGGTTTGCAAAGGAGCTAGTCGTTGACCTCTGCGCTCGCTGACGGATGGCTGAGGGGGCTGCTGATCTAAGCTCATCCTTCGGAGGCAATTTGGCTGACACCCGACATCAAAGCGCGATTCCGACTGATCGGTGATGTTGCGATAGAGAAGCCGTTAAGCTGTAGATGTGGAGCTTCAAGGATGATGATGATGATGATTCATCTGGAGAACAATTCAACTGTTGAGTCGGTAGTGTTGCACATAAATGTGGAGGCGAAGACTGGCATTGCAGGTAGATGCGAGCTCGTATCGACGGGTCAATTGATGGTCGCAACCTGAGACGAAACCCACTGATTTCAGATTAGACTCAGATCGATATTGGTAAATGCGATTGTACAGAACTAGCTCGACTGAGGTGAAGTGAGGACAGAACCGAATAGGAAAGTGGGAGAGATCGTGTGGTGGAGCGGAGACGGCCGAATTTTGGGATTTCAAGTTTGGAGAAGAAGTACGGTGGTAGTTTCAAAGGGAAGGGAAATCAGCTGTAAGGAGAGACAGAGAAGACCGCAGTGCGATATCAAACCAATTCACGCAACTCCATTGCGCTTCTCATGGGTTTAGAAAGAGAGAAAAGAGTGTTGGGGGCCAGAAACGACGATGATGAGGCGGAAGAAGAAAAGAGAGGAAGGGAAAAAAAAGAGAGAGAGCGAACTCGGCCCAGAACCAAGCGGATGGAAGCTGGAAAGCCAGATCGAGTCAAAGACTGGACTTTTCCCCTTCTGTGGTCCGTCTTTCTTTTTTGTCTTTCTTTGTCTCAATATTAGACTCTGATTAGCTCGCTGAACATGTGTCTGTCGGTTCTAAATCATAGTCTAGATACGGAGTAGTCTACGAGAAATTGGAGTGAAGCTAAGTAAATCGCCTTGACCAAAATCAGCAAATGGAGGCTAGACGTAAAGAGACAGGATTGAGATCAGATCAATTCCGACTATTATCGATAATATAGGCAATTATTGTCTGTCGAGAATCCGAGATACTATCTAAATACGGAGTATGCCCAGATCATAAAGGGCCACAGAGGTCTATTATTGGCAATTTGCCCCTGAAACGGAGGAGAAACAACACTTTTGAAGGAGGTTCCGGTCCCACTTGGCCGGAAGAACCGTTTTTCAGCATTTCACTGTGTTTATTTACATAGGGCTATGATGAAGGACAAACATAGTTCCTACTACGTACAGTGTACCGAAACTCTTGTTGTAGTGAACCTGAACAGAACTGCGCGGCCCATGATGTAGCAACAACGGGCGACCTAGGTTGGACAAGGTGACGGAACTGCAGCAGACTGCAGCTGTCCATACTCCATTCAATGCATGAGGAATGGCGATCAACGTCAATGGACTGTCGTTCAGCACGAGGTTCGCATCATATCACTTCCAGTTTTGAGCGACTTGACTTGATTCGGTAGAGCCGTGAAGCCACAATTGACTGGTCAATTCTGGTTTCGCGTGAAGTGTGGACACTGAATTAACCAGGAAATCCTATTATTATTATGTTCCTATCACGCCAAACACCAAACAATCCTCATAGTCCGAGTAATACACAATTTGTTCAGAATACATAAAATAACAACTTCCGAGTCTCACTCCCCGAGGCAATAGAACTACGCACTCTTACCCGAAGGACCTCCCATCAAGGGCACAGAAGGCGGCGTACACTTCTTCCCCTGTGCCTCATGAACAGCCCCCATCAACAGCGCGCCCTCCTCACAATGTTGCGCCATAGCAATATCCTTAGATGAGAGTCCCTGCGGATTATGTGTTGTCCAATGCACATCCACACTTCCAATCCTCTATCACACACAAACCAAGGAAACCCCTCCAATTAGCAAATCGCAACCTTTCCCCAATTCATCAGAAAAGAACTCACAACAGTCATGGTAGGATGATGCTTCTTGATCGCGCTCTGCGACGCAACCACATTCACAAAGCTCTGCACCAAACAATCAGCACCCCCCTAATCCCCCGCAAAGAAAAGGGAAGAAACAACAAAAACCCACCACAGCCTTGAAATAAGTCCGAAAATAAAACGTCTTCTGGATCCCCGTCCCATCCCCATCCAACACCCACCCCTGCTCACGCAACTCTTCCAAACCCCCCCGAACCTGCTCCGCATCCTCACCCAGCGAGATCTGCGCCTGCGCCTGCTCCTGCTCCTCAGAAGCACCAGCAGCAGTCGAGTAACCCGCACCCGCACCCGCACCCGCCATCAGGGACGCAGTCCCACGGAGCGCGCAGCCGCGGAGCGGAGACACCGTCGTGCGGGGGAAACTCCGCGCCGAAATGGACGATGACGATGACGATGGCAATGACAAAGACAATGATGGATAAATGACTCTGGGAGATAGAATACCGGGACGAGAGACACAAGCCCGAATCTGACGTTGCAGGACTCCGCGCGCTGCGTCCATGCTCGAGGTTCAACCTAGTCAAAAACTTTACGAGAACTTATCGTCATCACCGACAGAAGTTGAGATAACATAACCAGAAAAAGCGCTCCCAGGACGGAACAGTCACGTGATGCGCGGGTAGCCCATTAATCCACCCACCCCACAGAGTAGCAACGTGACAGACGGTTCCTGCAGAAACCTAGACCTAAGGCTTCATCCTCACCCGAATCAGGAAAGTCTTGACGGGTAAAAGTCCCTTGACTCCCCAAGATAAGAGATCGCCCGGATGTAACCTCCGGGGCCCAAATCTATCCCACAATCTCCGCAGACGGTCAACTCCAGATATTCCCCCGAAATCCGTGACCCCATCCCATCCATGGTCCAGTCAACTCCAGTGCGAAAGTCAAAAGTCCATGGAAGTTACTTCCGCCGCAGATATCTGTAGATGCATCTGGTCTCCATTGCGGAGTAAGTACAATGATCTCCCGGCCGTCTGTCCAATGACGTTTGATCAGGTCGCCTGTCTCGTAGCTTCGATAAGCTATGCTACCTCATTGTCATACTCTCAAGCCACAGATTCCTACGAGACTGATTGTCTTAACGATGTGCATTAACTCTAATAATTGCTCCATACGGATCCCTCCGCATCGAGCCTCTACATCCGCGAGTCATGCCTAGTCTCCGTGACGGATTACGTCGACATGAGGTTCTACAGTGCTACGGATCGCTTAAGCATTGATAGGAAAAAAAAACATCATCATTTTTCGTATTCATTTGCTACCCGCCAGCAGCGGAGGAATCTCTCGCTAACTACTTTGGTCCCGCCGTGGAGACACATTCGTTAGAAAATAGACATCCACCTGGCTGGCGATACAAGCATAGAACGAAAAGACAGACCACCGTTGAAAACACAAATTTCGTATGCCGCAGAGTAAGCCGCAGAAAGGAAAAAAAACCTGAAGCCACATAAAAGTCCCAGATACAATTAAAAGGCCATCGAAATAGTACGAAGCCGACGCCTGTTTGACTCGGGTGTACAGACCAGACTCCGCCCGTTCACTCTGCAAGGGTACAATGTAAACGAGCACTGAGAATCGGCAGTCTGGACACGCAAGCAAGGTGTAGCACCAAGGCCTTCCACCACAGACGGAGATGAAATGAAGAATCGGGAAAGAGAAGAAAAGAGACAAGAGGAGAATAACACTTGCAAAGGCCGGCCCTGCTCAAGAATTGAAAATTGCTCACAGAGGCAACGATCAGAAGAATCGCAAGGCTCATATGAAGCATGTTGCTGCCTGAAAACCATCTGTGTCACTGTGGACCATTTCACTGCGACCATGATTCACCTCAACAACAGCGCCTCCCCGAGTACCCATCGGCTCCAGGCCGCTCGGTCGTGGAGTTGCGTCATACTCACTCCGCGAAGGAGATACTGTTTCTGCGCGACTGAGCACGAGAGCCCGCGCGAGATGGACCACGAGATGCCACATAGCTGCCCTGTCGGCTTCCAAGGGCCTGGCGGATCCGAAGATCCTGGCGAGATCTTGCAAGAGAATTTGCCCTAGAGCCAGAGGGAATTCTAGACAAGTGTTGGCCATCGACTTCGACATCTTGGCGAGCATCGGACAGCTGTTGAGCGAATGGAGAGCGCTTGCGGAGGTAAGGACCTTGCCAGTAGATGACATAGACGGCAACGACGAGGATGAATGAGATACAGACTATAGAAGGTCAAGATCAGTCTCTGTCCTTGGGATGCAGTGCAAGCAGATTGAAGTAGCCGGAAGTACTTACAAAGGATGGTAGATGCGTACTCGAGATGATACTTGCCGCCAATGTCTGTGGAATTCCCAGTCAGCTGCTGTAACCATATGGCGGATCAGTGGACAGGACAACTTACTCTCGAAGAAAGGTGTGGCAGGAATGGTAAGAACACCAGCTAAAAAGTCTCTGGACCAGCCATTTCCACCGGTTGCCGAAGCAGAGTAAGGACCATAGGCACAGATCATGTAGTCAATCGTCGCCATGTAAATGCTGTAGTTGGCAATGCCGACAATGGCCGAGAAAACCATGGTTCCAATCCAGTGGACGGGAGGGCCCAGGCTGGTCCAAGCAAAGCCAATCAACCCGATGGGCAGGCAAGGAGCCGTGTAAAGCAGCCACCAGAGGCGAGATTCGTATTGAGCGCGTTCATCATCAGGCTTCTCGCGTCGCTCTTTGATGTTCCGTTTAATGACTGGGATGAATGATATCCATGCGATGAAGTAACCCACTAGGATGGGTAAAAAGGACAAGCCGAGTGCAACTGTGCCAAAGTTCCACTGCTTGTAAACAAGACCGAATGACTGGATGAACATGAAGATCAGGGCATCGCTGAAGCCACTCAGCAAAGACAGAGACAGGACGATGGGCTCGGTCAAGAACATCTTGAAGGGGCGGATCCAAGTGATGAGAATTTCCCGCATTGCGAACCGATCCCAGAAGGGGATCACCTCGTTAGGCCCCCATATATCCTGGCCATTCTTTCTTCTTCTCTTAGCAATTTTGTCCATCAGTATCGTGGTGCGTGTTTCCGGAACACAGACTAGGTGAGCGAGCTGAACAGCTCCTCCGAAGATCAATTGAATCCAGATGTTCCAGCGCCAAGGAAGGTATTCTTCGACGAACCCACCGACGACAGGACCGATGACGGAGCCAGCAACAGAAGAAAAGACGACACAGGCCACGGCGTACTGCTGATCATCTGCCTCCCACAGATCGGCAATCATTCCCAGCGTGACGGAGCCGCCAGCAGAACTCAGACCACCCAGGGCTCGGCCCACCATGATGGAGGCAAAGTTGGGAGCAAGAGCTACAGGAAGTTGGAAAACATTGACGAGAAACAGACTTGCCTGGAGGATTGGCTTGCGTCCGAGTTCCTCGCTCCAGGGAGCCCAAAGTTCACAGCCAAAGGCATAAGTAACGAGGAAAATCATGGCACCGCAACGGGCAGCCTGCATACTGACTCCATACTCTTCAGAGATACCCGTCAGAGCATTGGAATACAGACTGGTGTTGAAGTTCATGGAAGTTTGAACCAGAAAGATCACACTTATAATTTTCCATTTCTTCCAGGAAGGGAAGGAGTAGCCCAGCTCATTGTAGCAATCAGACTCTTTGATCACCACCTTAGGCGGCTCGACCTTCTCAACATCCACATTAGTGGGCTTCTCAAAGGCTGGGTCGATGCCCTGGTCAGCGTGAGTTGAGGATGAGGCCTCAGACTCATGAAGATGCCTGTCTTCTATCTCCGTGACCCCGTCAGAGGGAGGAGGCACTGCCATTTTGAAGTAGCCTGCTGTGTATCTCGCGTATCACAGACCTAGAAAGATGGTTAGAGGCGTGAACTCACAACAACCATTAGGTAGACCATGTTAACTTACTTAATAGGCAAGAGATTGTTGACTTAGCAAGGCTATGAAGAGCAGTAGATGTAGACAGAGGGAATTGTGAGCAGTATAACCCAGAAGAGGAGAGAGGAAGAGGAAAATAATGAGATGGAGCTTTATCTCACGAGTAAAAAGTGGTTGTGTGAGAGAAGGAAGACTAACACTCAGCAAAGTGTTAATATAAACAAAGCGTGTGGGAGAGAGAGGTGCGGAGTAGATAGAAGGTAGGAGAGAAAAGGATAGAAGAAAAACAACAGTTGATCAACAGCGAAGCAGGAATATGAATGCGGTCAACAGAGAGGCGCCTCAGGCTATCTATACTATACTGTGTGGCCTGGCAGGAACCCCAGAATGGGAAAGGACCGGGGAAATACCTGATGCTACTCTACCACCCATGGACAAAGCCCACTTTTGTGCCTGCACTTTACTTCCCTTCCAATGAAGAGAACCCGGGGTAAGTCAGTACGGGGTTCTCAACTAAACTCTGAACTTTTCTTTTTATCTGCTCTGATGCTAATGGGGGTTATTACTGAGAGAAAAATATCCAATTTACAACCCTGCTAAGGACAGAGGATGCTGGTAGGTCTCTTGCTGAATTCCGTCTTTTTCCCCTCATTTTGCCTCTGTTCTTTTACTAAAAAATATGTCATATATCTCTTTCCAGGCTTGCTCGTCCCTTTCCTTTGCATAAATCGATTAATTTTCTTTTTTTTTTTTTTTTACAAAGAGGCCGCAGCCATAAAGCTGCGCATTGAACATGGTTAGACCATCGACGCAGCCGGATACCAAATCAGGACTGGAGATTCGAGCCCACTCGCCACGCCGTGCAGGAAGAATCTCCTTCCTCATCAGTTTCGAATGGAACGTCTGGGAACCTCAGGACGAGTCAGCGTCTGCCCCTCATCATCTGAGCCAACGGAAAACGGCGATAGGAATCCCCACGGGCAATGGAATATGGCCGCAACAGGATATGACTTATGGTGCTCCACTCGGAAGTTGAGTGCTAGCCCGGAGAGTACCACTGCAGAAGCCGCTCTGGGCCGACGGGCTTCAGGAATGCCCGTTTCGGGAAACCTAGTGCCCAAGCCATGGGACGGCGTCGAAGGGAAACCTACAGTCAATTCTGCCAGCAGGAATACTCTACTGCAGCGTTAGGCGAGTTGCTCTATTTCACAAAATTTACTGACAGCGAGAGGGCTAGCAACCCGTATTGACGCAAGGAGTCGGGATGGTTCGCCGGCCGTGCTTATGGATAATTGTTGGTGTGGCTTCCCGAGGCGGTCGGGTAAAGGCGATCTTCTGAACTTTCTTCGAGGCTTAGCTGCCAGGGATCCCAGGATGAGTTAGGACTTACGAGTTACGACAAATTACGACGTGCACATCAAGATGCCGATC